TAGCGTACCCACTTATTATCGGCTATAACTTTTTTATTTTTTGAGAACTAACGATAAAATTTGGGAACTATCAAGAACTAACGATGAACTAACGATTGGTATGATCAAAAGTGGATACGCTAATATGGGTACGCCAACTTCACGGACCTTCATATAGCTCCTAAACAAGTAGGCTTATGCCTTATGCCTCTTTAGCGAGAATGCGAAGAGTAAATAAGTCAAATAAGTCTTAAAATTGCATCCACATTCCAAAAAGACCATAAAATTAGTTAAAAATATTAATTCTATTATTTCAAAAATGGCGGCCATTTTCCAAAATGGTGACAAACTTGAAAAGTGGAAAACTGTGCATTTTATGGTCTTTATGGAATGTGGATGCAACTTTGTATTCTGTGTTCGCTGGTATTAACAGGAAAAAGTTGGATCAACAATTAAAATTGTCAACTGATCAGCTGATTAGTTGACGTTCGAAGCATTACAATTTTACTTCTTTTCTCTCAATCCTTGAACCTCATTGGTCCGTTGCCTGTGTTGTTATGAGAAAAACTATGCTGTTGTGAAATGAAACTATGCTGTTATGAAAGTAAACAGCTGTTAAGTGAAACTTTTCAATTCTAAGAACTAAACTGAAATGGCTACTTTAAAAAACTGTCGTATTTAAAACGGTAGTAGGTAATAGTATATTTCATTACTAGGACCGAAAGTGGCATTTTCCGTCGCGCGCTCAAGTTTTTGTGTGAGGCGAAGCCGAACACAGGGAACCCCAATTTCACCTGCGAGGCGAAGCCGAGTATGTGAGAGCTATTTTCACGTACGAGGCGAAGCCGAGGTCGGGAATAATGGAGCAAGTGCCGGATAATAACTTTCGGTACGAGTTATGAACGATACTTTTCATCACGACGCAAAAATACACAAACACAGATTAGCAGACCTCAGTAATATTACAACTAGGGATTTCTCAATTAATTTGATTGAACATCAAAATAAAATAAAATCTTCTAAAAGAAAACCTACGTATATTTCTCAATAAATTTGGTTTAAACATAAAAATAAAAGAATAAAACATCTTTTAACAATACATACAGCTGATTCAAATCATTAAATACCGTAACAAAACACTAGCGCGCGTAGTGAATAAATGGAGATTCGAACTAATTGAGAGCGAGGGAAAGTAAATTTAGAGCGAGGGAAAATCAGCTGATCGATTTTCCCTCGCCCTAAATTTGAGCTTGCGAAATGATTACTTTCATTGATGTCAGCCGTTATCGAAAATACGGAGTGACGAAAAAACATTTTGGTGAATGTTCCATATAGGTAATACGCGTATGCGAAAAAATCTCTCATGGCCTCATGGCAAAAATAATACGATCCTGATGCAATTTGTAAAAACGTGTCGTGTAAACCTACAACCTACAACGAATGAGTCCGCGAACCAACACAATTGGAATACGCGAAAATTAGTTTATGAGGGTAATAAGAATAAGGTAAAGATTTTTACATGGGCATAATGAGTGAATTTCTAAACAAAATTAAAAATGTTAACCAATTGCAAATAGCTTATGTAACTTATGGCATGCAGGATAAGGAATTTTGTATATATTTTATGTATTTCTGTAATTGACGTAACCAATGCATAACTTATGTAAATCTAGATAAATAAATGACTTATGACTTTAGAGTAAAATACTCCCGCCGCAGTAAACCTGCAGACTAAGCGAATTTCCATTTGCCTAACTGGTTTGTTGCATGCCTACCGGTTGAGGATGTATAAGAAGTTCCCAAGTTCTTAAGGATAATAACAAAACTTTTTTAGTTTTCTTGTTCTTGGATTTTACTTAATCAAATTTGGTAATCTTTGTTTATTTCATTTTATTTAACAAAGAAATAATCTGACATTTTTAAGAAAATACGAGCTGCTATAAGCAGGTTGTTTTGTTCGTGGTATGTCTATATAGTAACCGAGCTTCACAACGGGAGGAGAACGTGGTTAGAGTTGCAAGTTTACATATCTAGGCCTGTTATGGATCTAAGATTAAAAACTTAATTTTAACACCTAACCTTGTGTGTAATAAAATTCTTTACATCTTACTACACAGAAACAGGTACTTTTCCTATTCCATCCATAGGATGGGAAGTTACCCTTTGCCATGCCTAAACACGGAAAAGTAAAGTAATGTACTTTTACGCCACACTACATTATTTTGACGAACTTCCCACGCAAGGATTTAGTCAAGAAAACAGCTGTTTGCTGCCAGCTTATTCAATTGGGGTTTCATTGCGATTGCGTACTGTACTACTATACTGTAATGAGTGTTACCGGACACCAATCAGCTGATTATACTGTATTTAGGTGGCAATGAATGGTTATAAACAAAAACATAATGAGCAGTGATTTTTAGTCCTTTAGTTGGTGGGAATATATAAGGATTTGTACAGATTTATTAGTATGGCGTAAACTAACGTACGTAGGCCTAACTCGTCCAAAATGTGTGTACCGGACACGTACCGGACTCGTATGGTAATCCCGTACTCGACTTCGTCTCGCACGAGAACGACCACACTCGTCCGGTAAACACACTTATTTTCAGGACTAGTAACGTAATATACTATTACAGTGTACTTAGTCAGCTGTTGAAATAAACAGCTAATTTCAGCGGCCTATTTTATTTTCAGAAAAAAAATCTAATTTATGTTCTGTCCTAAATAAATTGTGTCGCACGAAAATCCCGTACTCGGCTACGCCTTCTATAAAACACCTTACCGCTTACCTGGCTAGTAACCTAATTTAATACAGTAGGCATATACTATTTTTTTATACCTACTGCATTTAGATAAGGTGTTTAAGTTTCTTAAGCAGCCATTACAGTTTACAGGTGGTTCTGATGTGTGTTTGTAAACACTGTAACTCTATGATTTATTTTAAATACCCCCCGCAGCAAACCTGCAGACTAAACGAATTTCCATTTGCTTGATTGGATTTACACTATCTCCTTAAAATATCACAATATTATTCCCTATTTCAATATAGCATTAGTTTAACAAGTACTTAGGTATGTTGAAACAGGGAGGGTTTTAAAGTTTTTTTTTAAATATTATTACATGTAGGTAGTTTAGTATGAAATAAATGCATTTTCAAATTTTGATCAAAAGATGTTCATAAACAAGCTAACTAAAACAGTTTACTTATTCCCCATAAGAATATCATTGGGATTTTAAATTTAAAACGGTTTGAGTTTTCTCCGTAACCATTAGGTGCATAATAATGCTTCAATATACTAAATAATTTGTTATTAAGCTCTACAAAATAGTTTGGAAAGAAATTATTGCAAAATGTTATGTTGTCATTGCTTTTTATGGATCGCCATATTGGCAATGGAAAGGTTAACAAAAGAATCAAAGCATCTGCAGTTTGTTTAGGCAAATTAACGCAGTTTTTTAATTTCCTCATTTCTGGTGTAAGTTGCTGATACAAATGTACTACAACTCATTTAATATTTCAAAGTGTAGCAATGAACAACGTAAATTTGTTATCTGGATTAATCTGTTTTAACATTAAGCTAGCAAGTTAAATGAAAAAACTATGTACACCCCTACTATGTCATTATATAAACATATATTTCAAATAAATGTATGATAAAAAAACTTTGATGGATACCATAATCATCCTCTAGCAAAGTTTGGCCTAGGTAGCAAGTTTTAACTACCTTCTTACATGAAAAAAACAGTTAATAAATCATAATACAAGTGCGACAAATAAATGTCAAATTATTTTAAGCCTTCAAACGGCAGAACACATATTATATACACAAGATAGTTGAGATAGCATTGACAAATTTGAAGGAGACTGCAAGCGCAAGCTGCAAGCGCCGTGAATAGAAGTCGTTCGGAGTTAAAAAAAGAACGACTCTCATTATACTCAACCGATCTGTTCAGCAAGAGCTGTTCACCTTCAATTTGAATCTCCCGCTCTTTGTCGATCTGTTTTGCTTGTCGACATTTTGCGTGTCGATAAAGTGGGAAAATTTACACAAACGTCCCACATAACAGACATCCCACATAACCGACATCCCACTTTACAGACATCCCATATTACCGACACTGTCGACATTTTGAGTTGTCGACATAGTGGGACTATTTCAGTGTCGATCTTTTGGGATGTCGATAAACTGGGACCCCACGATTATGTGAACTGATATAATAATGAATATTTTTACCTAAAAGACTGTTTATAAAATAACTTTATCATTTTGGCACTTTGGAAAAAATAGATTTTAAGTGTGTTACCGTAACGAACTTGAAAACAGAAAACCCCCTTCCCCTCCTCGTAATGCTGCGTAACGCTAAGTCAAACCCCTACCTCCGATCCGTCCTTAAACGTTACGTAATATGTGGTCATTTTAGAACATAACACCATAGATAAACCAAACCGCACTCCTTGAGGTACGTTATTTTGTGGTATGGTATCTTTGACCATGGATAAAACAACCTTTATATGGATCAGCAGCTGAAGACAAGTTCAATAGCTTCGCAGAAATAATGCACGGGGATTTTATTTCGTGTACCATTCCATCTATGTTACTTATTTTAAATTTCTTATGTAAATTTTTTTTTTCGATATTAAAGCTAGCGTTATAACCGAACCATAGAATATGAATCATAAAATATATTATAAAACCAAAGAAAAATTACCTTAATATTAGCGTAGCGTACTCTAAAATTTCGATCACAGAACATTCATACAAAGATCAGACGAGAATATTAGAATGAGAAATCTGCTAGCACAGTTGCAATCGATGTCAAAATCTACTGCAATAAATTCTATTTACTAATCTTCCTTTATAATCAATGCTGGGGCATTTTTAGCAGCAACCGCCAATTTGTTCACATCGACCGTGGTATTTCGAAACAGTTGGCAGCAATGGACGTTTAGTTACCGAGCCGGTCACCAGGAGAAATTCAATTGCGCCACTTCCGGTTACCATCCTTGTCCGACGCAAAACGAGGGGCTTGGGCTTGAGCCTGACAATTCGTTCTTCGGTCTAGTTTTTCGTTTTGCCTTGGAATGAGATGTAAAGCTTTATTGTTCAATGAAACAAATTCGAGTTAGGCAACATTTTTAAAGTTTCAAGTTCTCACCCGTATTTACAAGCATACAGCGGTCATCTTGCATTCTTACGAGTTTACATAAATTTGTGTTATTACGCAGTTAATTATGGCTAGGCTTTGCAAAGAAATGGGGATAAGTGACAATTTTCTGGCAAACTTGAAAGCAAACAAAATATTTACCGTCTCTGATTACATTCAAGAGGAGACCGAAAAGTTGGCAAATATTTGTAATACTTCATTCAAGGTCCGGTTACATAAAACAAATATACGTATGGTACACTATATCACAGAAAACGTACTACTTAGTACGTTTTCTGTGACTATATTAATTATGGTCTGGAACAATAGAATGTTCCGCGTTTTTTATCGGTTTTCGGTGTGGCACAAAATACAAAAAATAAAGTAAAGAGTGTAAAGCAAGAAAGTTATTGTTTAAGTAGTTGACCCATACCGGTACTGAAAACGTTAAACCATTCATTATAGATTGTACCGGTATCAATTTTAATTGTTTTTAAGTTGAACTTCTAAGTTTCCATTGTTACATAACTTGCTTTATACCTTTCAAAAACGTAATAGCGAGACTAATAACAATGGAGAGTATGTCATAACGTTTTAGCGACACAAGTTTAATTTTGTGTTATATTTTTAAATTTAATTCAAAATTATATTTTATCATCACAACAGAGGATCAATTAGTAACTTAATTTAAAGACACTTTGTGGATTATTTGCGTACAAAATTAGTTGTGGAATAAAATGTCTCTTGTATTTTGAAACATATTCGGTCCAATAACTATTTATTACTGTTTCTTATTTTATTTTGTTCCAGGAAGTTCTGGAGGTTAGACAACAGCTGATAACAAATTTCGCCGCTCTTCCAGTGAACGGAGCGTCTGCATATCAACAGCTGTTAGCTAACTCTGCGCTTATATCATCAGGAATTGAAAAGTAAGTCAGGATGATTTTGTAAAAGTGAACCGTTTCTTGTGGCTTAAAATATGTAAAAAAATTGTATTTTTTATATTTTAGTTACCGGTAATCATGTTTTTTCTTCCTAAGGTTAAGGTTAATTTTGGGTTGCAGAAATTGAAACTTGCACGTCAAATTTAAGGTACTTTAATTTCTAACTTATTTATCTGTAACCATATAATTAATTGTGAACATTTAATATGGAAAGACGCATTCTATAAAAAATTAAGCCTCAAGTTTCAACTTGATGTATAACCAAAATATTTAAAATATTTTGCAGATTAATAATTTTTGGTAAACAAAGTTTTTTACTACCAGGTACTTACATTTAAAATTGCAGTCGTGCCTAAATTTAACTTAAGGTTGTCATAAATAAATTATTGATTACAAAGTATTCCTGGTATTTCAAAAATTGAATTTGGACGATTTATTTATTTATTACTTATGAATGAAGTTATTGATGTTAAAATAAACGAGATATTAAATGCCTTCCTCATCTTGCACATAATTAATTTAAGAAATATCAAAAAAGTTTAATTATTTTGTAATTTTATTCAGTTTTAAAAATCTAGTGCCATCAAAACTTGTCTAACATGTTACAGAACTAAGAGAAGACAACATATTCCCACTGAGGATATACAAAAATTCTTTTTCAAAGCTACCAAGTTTAAGTTTTAAACTAATCATACAAAGCTCTTTATCTCAGTACCTTGATAACCTGAGTATTTCATCACAGGCATCCAGACTTATTGTTCACGTAAGCCATTGTGCCATTGTGCTAAATCATATGTTCAAACCACTTTTTTAAACACAGTATAATTTGTAGAAATGTAGGTATCGTCTTACTAATATTATAAATGTGAAAGTTTGTGTGTTTGTTTGTTTGAAGTTCAATCGTGCTTAACTACTGGTCGGATTGGGTTGAAATTTGGTATGATGATTTAGCTCACATTCCCGATTAACATAGACATATTCTTATCTCAAAAATCCTTTCGGGCTCTGTCCCACTGGCTATAGAGTTTCACATGTTAACCTTATGAGTATTCATATTCAAATAATTTATAAATAAAAAAACTTTTTTAAAACAAAACGTTTTTAAACACACTAAAAAGTTAAAAATAATTAATAAATATGTGGAGAATATAAATACTTGTAAGATTTAAAACGAAAAACGTGGGGTGCATGCAATAGATAATTTACAATTACCTTCACCTATTGAACTAATGTATTATTATCAATTGCATGCACCCAACGTTTTTCGTTTTAAATCTTACAAGTATTTATATTCTCCATATATTTATCAACAATTTATTCAAAGCAGTTTTGCAGGTTGGATGAACTCCTAGGAGGAGGGTTCCTGACGGGAACCGTGACGGAGCTCTGTGGAGTATCAGGTGATGGCAAAACTCAGCTGTGTGTTGCCATTGCTGCCAACATTACTGCCACACTCAAGCAGGCTGTGCACTACGTCGACACCAAGAACGACTTCTCCGCTCACAGGGTCTTACAGATACTGAGGAGTAGAAACTTGTCTGAAGTGGTAAATCAGTAAATAGCGATGCAACACAACATTGCTGACGAATAGTTTATTTTTTATATCTCAACAGATCCTAGGACGTAGGTTCTAGCACGGAACAGTTTCACAAAATATTGTAGGCCTAAACCATGTATTTTAAATGAAAGCCAAAAGTTCGGAATTATTTTGGAACGGTACAGAGTTAAGATAGTTATTTAGCAAAATTAAAGTTTAGGGGTAATAGAAACAAGATAAAAATACATGAAAATAACACACCCTTAAAAACCTCTTGTAAGCTACAACATCTGTTATGTCTTCATCAACCTTTATTGTATGAAAACCTAATGGAAAGATTGGGACTTAGTGGAGCACTATAGAAGAGAACTAATATAGGGAATACTATATTAAAATATGTTTTGTTTGAGTAATCATCTAGCTACCAATGGTCCATATAAGGCCCATTCTACACGAGCGTGACTGTGCCAAAATTTTCTGCAAACTAACCGTGGCGGAATCCCTGTCGCATGGAGTCCGGTTGAAACCCGTCGGACCATTCTACACAAGGCGGTTCAGATGCGGGATACACACAACTCCAGCTATTAATTTGGACATAGTTATTCTTAATTTTTTTTTACTCACATCATGATGTTACTAAAACTTTGATACAAAGTCGCTTATCTCCGACAAATAAATTGCAATACAGTATTGATTTTATGGAACAAATTCTGGTTGTCGTACGGTGATTATGGTTTGTACATTGTATTTACTTATTACAAATGAATATCTATTGTAATTTATGTGAATAGATTAAATGTACTAAATGCCACATTACAAACTTACTAGTCGACCGATTATTTTTAAGGTGTAAATTAAAAATACTTTGTGACTAAAGGAATATAAAATGTGAATAAGTATAATATAATATGAAAACAAATTTAATGCTACATCATGATCAAACATCACACCGCACCATATAGAATCCAAAAGCTACTGGACAATAGATTTAGGCGTCAGCTACCGTACTGCGTGATACTGTTACGTGTAGAGTGGCTGGGCGGGATTGACGCAGCATCGACTGAGTGCTTCCGCCTACTATCGCACCATTCCCGTCGTGAATCCTGCTCGTGTAGACACGCCAATTTAACATAATGGTCCCTGTTGAGCGTGTGGCCTCGCTGCGGGTTTCACGCTCGTGTAGAGCCGGCCTGAATGGAATTTTTCCAAAAATCATTGATACAACTGCAACTACCCTTCTAGGACTGCAAGTCAGCTTTGGAGAAAATTCAAGTGATCAAGATCAACAGTATTTATGAGCTGATGAGCTATCTCCACTCGCTGAGAAAATCTTTGTCTGATGAAGAAATTCTTTTTCCAAGAGCGGTCATCATAGATGCTGTTCCTCCGTTATACTTTCCGTTAATGAGCAGTGACACAAACCAAGGTAGGAATTTAATTTAATTGTAAAATTTTTGGAAATAAAGAATCTTGAAGAATGTTGATTGTTAAGTATTTACAGTGGAACCTTGATAAGAAGTGGTCCTTGATAAGCGTAATTTAAAAATACCCTTGACTACATGTTATTGCAAACCTCGAGAAGTCAACCTTAATAAGAAGTCTTGTTTGATAATCCCCATGAGAGACTTGTTATTAAAACTCTACTGATTTCATTGTAAAATCTGAAGCTACTTTTATGTCGAGTTAATGTTGGTGTCAATGCAATTTTGTTATCTTATTCTCGGGTGAATTTTTTGATTTGTTCAATTTTTGGGTATAAACCAAAAGGAATAGCTATTGTTTGTAGTTAGAATGTTTTACTTTGCTAAACTAGTATTGAAATAACAAGAAACCAATTGTAAACAAAAACACAACCCTAGCGGCATTGGACAAAACACAAAACTAATATTTCTCTTTAGCTGGGCGTGGATAGCAAAATTAATCTACTAAGGGAGTATGTTTAATCTACTATAGTATCTTTTGATAGGTAATAGGCCTACATGTTCACAATTTTAATTTTCTTATCTCTTTGTAGGTTTCGGCCTTCTAAATCATGTAATGACGACAATCAAGTCAATCGCTACCGAGTACCATATGTTATTCCTCGTCGTCAACCTTGCCTCAAGTTATGTGAATTCAGAGTCTGCGCCAGCTGACAAGGAAGAGGAGGAAGAAAAGGACCAAGTTGTTGCGGATGTTCGTCCGATGCTCGGCAGATATTGGCTTCACGCTCCTCACACTCGACTACTAGTCAGCAAACTTAACACTGAAGATTCCCATAGACTCGTCCGAGTTCTGAAAAGCACTTCTCTACCCTTGGGAAAATCTTGTGTGGTTAATATTTCAACAGCAGGCGTGGTTTGATAAAGTGAAGGATAAGGACTGAGTTCATTATGAGTTTCATCATGTAATCTAAAAATCTGTTGGGCCTAGACAATATTTTTATTGGTTTAATCTTACTGCAGAAGTGAATTGTGTTCCAAGTAAAGAGACAAATAATATGTCAGAGAGTAGTTTTATAAGTAACTAGTATTATTTACTGTATGTATTTGATGGGACTATTGCATTGTTTATGGACTAAATTTATCTGTTACAGAAACGATTGAGTTTAAGTTGTTCAGTAGCTTTTTATGACTTAAATCCCTTAAAATCACATGATGTTCAGGATTTTTTTTTGAAAAGTGATAAGAGTTCAGTTAGCTTTCCTGAGAAAGTTAGGGTCCTGGGCTGACAGCTACACAAAACATAACACACTGATATTATTCTATGACTTCTTCATAGGGGGGAGGTTTAAGAGAACAAAAGTGCCCTACTTTAAAAAACTAAGCTTTCTGAAATACATTATTTAATTATTTAAAAAAAAATTACTTACAAGCCATTTGGCTTTCATTGTTACTGTATTTGATATTTTCCAATAAACTAGTTTCCAAGGAATAAACTGTGTTGTTTTAACCCTTTGAGTGCCAACGTCCGGGGAACCGGACGTTTTTAGAACGAGCCAAAAGTGCCAACGTCCGGCTGACCGGACATTTCGTAATGATCGAACAGTTGTCATAACAACCGAATGGATACTCGGATTCTTTTAACCCATATATTAACATTGAGTCGAAAGTTACTAGATGCGATACATCGATTTTCGTTGGTCGAAATATTGAAAATTCGATTTTTACGAAATTTTAACCTAAAAATCGCCAGATCGCGCTCGGCATTTTTAGCGCGACCTTCGGGAAAAATCATCGGCATTTTTTGAGAGTTACTTTTATTTCTCGCCTGGCACTCTAAGGGTTAATGTTATTGAAGATGAGAACAATACATCATTTTAAAATGTTCATCTGTCTTGTTATTACAAAATCAAATTGAGCTCTCTAACCAAAAGAAAGTGTTGCTTCATCTTGGTCATTGAGCAAAACCAAGCCATTAGTAATACTCATGAAGGACAATAGTTAACAATACAGTATTACTCGTCTAAGGCATATGACTGATATGAAACCTGTCCTGACATTGATATATAAGAATCGCAACCAACCGTAGAGGTGTAGAATAAACACAAAGCCAACTCCAGGATTACATACATATGACTACATGACTTCTAATACTGTTGTAGGATCATAGAATAGTTGTATCTGTCGTTTAACTTATCCAGGTCATATTGAGGTACCCAAATGAGAGTTATAGTTCAGTTTGCAAGATCGAGCCCCGTACTTGAGCCCATTTAACGTTAAAATTAAAAAATGACAAGTCGATGTAAAAAAAGGTGTTTTTTTTCAACTCTTTCTTATGCCAACAAAAGCAGATTTCTGATAATGTTCGACTGAATCCGACAAATCACCTGAGAATTTAAGGCTTATCTTTGTCTACACTCTGTCTTTTAAGAGCCATCCGAAGAATGCTCCAGGATCAAGCTATTCGGAACTAATAGAACCCTTATTAGACAGCGAAATCGTTCAGATCAGCTGGAAATGTACAGTAAAACTGCATCAAAATAATGTAAACAAAGTATTTTTATGACTAAAAGACAATATATTGCTCACACCATTACGGCAACACCATGATCATCTTCTGCAATAGCGGAAATAAATATCTTTTTTTAACAACTGGGATTGTAGTAAACCCGTAATCACATCCTTTATACTACACGAGATCCTTAAAATGGAATCGACAGAATGCCATTAGAGTAGAGGCTCAACCAAAGGCTATTTTCGATTATTCCAAATTGCCAGGTTCTGTACAAAATTTACACACAATTCAGACTTTCCCTCGGTTTTCTTGGTTTCACGATCAACTGGATAACCATGTTTTAACACAATAGTTTTGTTGTTAGATCAAATACAGCAACTTTCTTCCCCAACAGGTGGTTTGGATTAGCGAGACGCTGATGCATCCCAATAAGAATCGGAAAATAACCCTTCTTAAAAAACAAAGTGGCAATTTTAAATTTGAAAGCAAGCATTTTAACCAATTTGATAAACAATCATGTAACTGAAGTATTATCGATGAAACTTTATTTTTTTACAATAAAATCAAAACCACCATAACCACAAAATAGGAAGAAAGAACAAGTATGTATAAATAAGACAACAGTTAACAAATTTGAGTTTTAATAACGTTTTCCAAAACACTATATTACCCTCTGTTTATAACTAGTATCTCTAGAAAAATTGACTAATTAGTAGCTAAACTAGTAATCTACAAGTTAACAACAAATTTTAACAACCAATAATTTAGTTTAACAAATTTTCCATAGTATTTATAGAAAGAAAAATATGATAATTTACAAGATATTTTATACTCAAACTCTAATAGTTTACTAATCTGAAATTTTTTATTTACCTGTTTCTGAAAAGCATGATTTTTTTGTAATCCAATGATTAATAGGAACCGGCCTATATCAAACCTTAATTTTATTCAAGATTGCGCAATCACTTATTCAGAGTTACCAACTCAAATTATTTCTCATTTGTTAAAAATTGTTTTATGATATTTAAAGCTTCACAAATAAAGGCAATTAATGTAAAAAAAAATAATAGTATGTATAAAAATATACGTCAATATATAAATAAAAAGATTAAATACTGATAAACTTTAACAAACGTCACACTCTAACCTCGCAATAACACACAATAAAGTCTCACATCCATAGAACATAACGTAAAAATAACATATTGAATATAAAACATAGAAATTAAATACTGATTAAATGTCAGCATGTTAAGGCTTAATAAAACAAACTGTGACGACCCTTAGGAGTCTTAGTACTTAAACACACAACACAAGATAATAATATAAAGTGCAAAATTGACAAGAACAGTAAACATAATCATAATATCATAAATAAACTATAACCTGTACATGGGCAAGCGAGGAGCTTGAAGATTATAATTTCATAGAGCTCTAAAATATAGTGATGGTCAAATGGGGAAATTTAAATATTTAACCTATTTGAAATATTTTGAAATCTGTAATATTTTATCACAACAAAAGTGTGATTCCTGGCCAACAAATTACAGGAAATATTTAAAAATATTGCAAAAAAATAATACTAATTATAAAATTTGCGAGTTGAGCTTTGATTCTTGAATCCAATTTAATCTCAAATACAAGTATTTTATTCAGATTTGGTGAATTAAAGATTTGGTTTCAAAATATCACTAATATCCTTATCTTACTAGTTTTTAGTTATTTACCATTTTCTACTGCAGACTGCTGTTTACTTTTGGACAAGACCTTAATTTTATCTCAGAGAATTTAATACTTACTTGAGTTTTATTGAATCATGGACTATTTCTGAACTTTTATTTCTTAAAGTTTTGACTGTAGACTTATTAACATTCTTGATTAATTAAAGCACTTTTAAAGTGTTAACAAAAAGAGTGATGTTTTCACTCATGAACTGAATTTTAAGGTGTTCTGAGAATATATGCAAGTGTAATATGATAAATGCATTACTAATACCTTATACACTAACTTATAATTCTAACATACCAGTAATCAAACAGTTAATTTACATCATTGTTGTTGATTCAAATAATCCTTCTGACATACGCTCACAGTGCAGCGGCAATGCTGGTAAAATGCAATTAGTGTTAATATTTACAACGAGTTTGCCGAGATTCTACGATTGTTGTGCTATTGTTGGCTACTTTCGGGAATCTTGTGCTGATGGCATTATGAAATAAAAGTATAGTCAGTTTGGAATTAAAATAAACATTGGTATTGGATTGCAATTCAATATGGATATGGTAAAACATTCATAAATATATAACCAACATAAAATAGTTACATAGGACTGTATGAGATTCGCTTATTCCATTTCCAATCAAACAACAACGAATAACTAATATTTATTAGGTAAGAATGCTGTTTTTATATAGTCTAACGTTTTAAATTCACTCACTAGATTATCTTTGGTTTATGGTTGTATCAAAATTAAAGTCATATTTTTTGGTTTGATTAAGGAACCACAAAACATAAAACTGTATGACTAAGACGACCCAATAATTCATTCATAACTGTAAAAACTAATAGTCTGATGATCAGTTACACCTGGAGTCTTTTTTTAAATAATAAAAAAAACTATTGACTCTTCTAAGGATCAAACTGTTGACCTCTAGTTAGTTAGAAGGGAAGCATTACAATATCCCAAACACCCGATAATTTTTTTTTCTCCAAGAACCAGTAAATCATTTTGTTGTGTGATTTTTAATTCTCAATGCCTTGTTAACTATGAAAAACCATCCTTTTTTCAAGCAAAAGGATTTTATTTAGACTAAGTGATGATGCTGTGACCCCCTCTCGGCCTAGCCTGAAGTAATGTGGAAAGTAAATTTTGTGCAAAACGTAGAGAATAAAAAAACCATACATCGAACTTCTAGAGCATTTTTTGTTGTTGTTTATTTAAAGAGGTTGGCGGCCTCTTTTAACCTTGCATTTGCCCGTCCACATAGACTACAGATCTGGGCGTGGAACGTATCCAGCAAAGCAAGGGGTGAGCCGGTACAGTACAAAGGTGAACTGTACTGATAAAAGTTTGTGGCAGTGACCAGGATCCGAACCCACGACCCTTCTGCCTTGGGCCCAAAGTCCGTGAAGCTACCAACTGAGCCACCGACTCACCAACAGACAGTTGCATCAGACAGTTGTTTACAAATTGAAGAAATCTCTTCTGTAAATTAAGGACAAACATCGACACTGTTTTGTTTGATGGGTTTTGTGTATGCTTCAGCTATTCTAGACGTTCTAGACGGTCAGTTTCACATAAGCAATACAGTAATCAAATAAAGATTAATTATATAATAATTGTGTTGCCGCCACAATTTATAACAGAATAATTTATTTTTAGCAGCTTACAGAAACTATTACTTATGATTGTTCAAAACATTGATGTAACGAACATTTCTGTCACCTCCACCTCAATGTAAAAACATCGATGTTTCAAACACATTGGTTATCGATGTTCATCCCTACTATACACAATTCTGTGTTTGTGTTACTTCCTCTTTGCTATACTCCGGTCTTAATTATGTTGCCGTTACTATCCTGTGCCACCAGGGTGCGAGCGTTAGTCAGCGTTTGCGCCGGCACCAAGAACTGATGACGCAGTCTGGCGCTAGCTGGAAACTGCCAGGAACCCAACACTGCGCCGCCTTCTCCTCTCACTTCCACCACACGTATGCCGGCGCTACCCGTCACCACCATCCTATGAAGTATAGAAGAAAATATTTATTTGTTGTACATACAGAAAGAAAATTTGGATTTATAATTTTACATGAGCAAAAAAACCCTACTAGTCTTGCCTGCACCTATACTTTACTTGTTATTCTTGAATGTTACTTTGGTCAAATATATACCTTTAACAATAATTTTGCATATCAGTACATACCTAGATCTATCAAAGTGGAGATCGCTCTTGTCCGTGTCTTCTTTCTCCGTATTGAACCACCTAAAGACAGATCAAAATGAAAACCCTACATTGGAAAAAGTGAAATCGTACTATCAAATGTTCGATTTAGCTTCTATAGCGGATAATGATGATGAAGTTCCAGCGATCCCGAGAAATAATATTGATAGTATCCTGATCACAGATTACAGCCATGAAGACACTAAAACAGAGCAATAAAGCCTGACATTTCTTTTGTTCATCATTATTACCATTTACAAGAATATAAAAAAGTATTTCTATAACAAACCAAAATTTATCTTGGAAGAAAAATTCAAGGCTATCTCAACCTTGTTCCAAAAATTGGGAAAAGGAAATGAAAATCCCACCCTGAACTCAAAACTACAGCCTTGCCAATCCATAGTACATCATTTATATTCAACTAGCTGGCCCGACAGACGTCCTCCTGTCCTCCTGTGGTTTTATGTCAAATGCTCGTTCATTTTCTAGATGAGATCGTTCAATCACGTCCTGGTTAAAGTTCGTTTGCTACGCTTACTCACCTTTAGGTTGGAGCTCGTTTGCTAAGCTAACTCCCCTTCAGTTGGAAGTTCGTTCGCTATGCTCACTCACCTTTTGATTGCAAATTAGCTATTGTCTTAAATAAAAAAAAAAAAAAAAAATAGTTCTGCACCTTGTTGCTAAACCTATTATAGGCTAGGCATATTAGGAATATAAGTGGCAGTTAGCGGAAAGTTTAGGTACAGTCCTAATCATCACTTTTCTTTATGTTTTTTGGGTCGCTGAACACGAATATGAGGTTTGCTGACAGATATTTTGCCCGGAACATTGGTTATTTTGTGAAAAACCTTAAAATTTGGGCACTTTTTTTGGTTTTTCGGGCAAATCTCGGTAAGTGTGGGTTTTTGAGAAAATCCTGCTTTGTAAAGTTAAAGATGACAAAATTTACTACAAGTTTCCTATATAATGTTTGTTTCTATGACGAACCGTTTCGCCACTAGAGCACACTAAAAAAGGCCAGAAGTGCAAAAAATTAAAAACATTGCTAAATGCTGCCGTTTTACATTACGTTTCCATGGAAACAACGCATGTTACGATAATTTTAACTATTTATTCTTGATAACAAACTGAAACACACTTAAAAATATCCCCGAAGCAGCAAACCTGCAGACTAAGCGAATTTCCATTTCCCTGATTGGATTTACACTAAAATGTCTCCTTAGAAATATCACATTTATTCCCTATTTAAATAAAAGTTTAACGAGTACTTAGGTTTGCTGCAACAGGGAGGGTAAAAAGGTGTTTTTAGTAAAATGTAATAATTTAGTATGAAATGAATGCATTTTCCAAATTTGATCAAAATATGTTCATAAACAAGCAAACTACAACAGTTTATTAGTCTCCATAAGAATAACATGGGCATTTTAAATTTACAGTTTGGAATTTTCTCTGTCAGAAGGACAAGAAGTGTTTTAGTTCTTCATCAGAATTCTTAGCGTTGCTGATACGTTGAAACAATGTGTTGGGGTTTACGGGTAAGAATTCTCTACTTTCATCGCGTTATTTACTATGGCAAGTGGCTGGACACGGTCTGCTCGTCTGAGTTTGACCTTACCAAAGTTAAAAGTTATCTACAACTCTTTTAATGTATTTCATCCTTTTTCTCAACCACTATAGCAGTCAACCCTGTGGCCAGACACATCTCTGTGCTGAGAAAATAAATGGGTGTTTTGTGGGAACGGGAAATGTTCCAGCAGTCAGTCATACATCTTGGCATAGATTTATCAAGTGTGTTTCAGTTCATTATCATGAATAAATAGTTCAAATTTTCGTAACATGGGTTGTTTCCATGGAAACCCAATGTAAAACCTTTGTAAAACGATTAGGGTTTATTTTCATTTTTGGTTTTGCCCAGCATGATCGGACTATGGGAACAGGGATTTATGGGGGGTTTTATGGGGTAAAAATTGGTTTTTCCTATTTTTGACTATATAAACTTAAAATTTAGCGATTTCTTTCCATACCATTTTGTAGAGCTTAAACAAACAAATAGTTTAGTATATTTAAGCGTTGTTATGCGCCTAATGGTTACGGACAAAATTCCAAAAATCTGTAAATTTAAAATGCCCATGTTATTCTTATGGATACTAAGTAAACTGTTGTAGTTTGCTTGTTTATGAACATATTTTGATCAAATTTGAAAAATGCATTCATTTCATACTAAATTATTTCCTTTTTTAAAAAAAAACACCTTTTTACCCTCCCTGTTTCAGCAAATCTCGTTAAACATTTATTTAAATAGGGAATAAATGTGATATTTCTAAGGAGACATTTTAGTGTAAATCCAATCAGGGAAATGGAAATTCGCTTAGTCTGCAGGTTTGCTGCTTCGGGGGTATTTTTAAGTGTGTTTCAGTTTGTTATCAAGAATAAACAGGGTGTCCACAGAAATTTTGTCATTAATTTCCCTGACTTTCCATGACTATCCATGACCATTAACCATTGATTTCCATGACTCACGAACTTTACTCGAAAATTATAATATACCGTAAACACTTGAATAATACTGCCTAAACAGAAAATACTGAAATATGTATTGACAGATAACAATGGCGTACAACAGGTACAACAATGAACTAAATACAAACTCAAAACCCATAAACTAAGACAACTGTATAAATTGAATTGACGTACATTTATGAAAAATTCAGAAAAATGCTACAATAGTCGGGGTTACGGCCGACTAGATCATTGAAAGGACCCCTGAAATCCATCCATTGTTGGGGATTTCCATGACTTTCCATGACTTTTTGCCTATTTCCATGACTTTCAATGACCAGAATTTTTTTCCATGACTTTCCATGACTATCCCTGACTTTCCAGAATGTGGACACCCTGATAAATAGTTAAAATTATCGTAACATGGGTTGTTTCCATGGAAACGTAATGTAAAACGGCAGCATTTAGCAATGTTTTTAATTTTTTGCACTTCTGGCCTTTTTTAGTGTGCTCTAGTGGCGAAACGGTTCGTCGTAGAAACAAACATTATATAGGAAACTTGTAGTAAATTTTGTCATCTTTAACTTTACAAAGCAGGATTTTCTCAAAAACCCATACTTACCGAGATTTGCCCGAAAAACCAAAAAAAGTGCCCAAATTTTACGGTTTTTCACAAAATAACCAATGTTCCGGGCAAAATATCTGTCAGCAAACCTCATATTCGTGTTCAGCGACCCAAAAAACATAAAGAAAAGTGATGATTAGGACTGTACCTAAACTTTCTGCTAACTTTCCTAATATGCCTAGACTATTAACTTTTTAATGCTATTGAACATCACAGAATCAAATTGTTTAGTTGAACCAGCTGTTATGATTCTTTAATTCCATTTAAATATAAGTACTCATAAGGTTAACATGGAAAACTCCAGAGCCACTGGGGCGGAGCCCTTTCGACGGATCTGCACCAAACTTCACATAAACCATCCTTGAATAATGCTTAATAATGCCTGAAAGTTTCATTACAATCTGTCAAGCGGTTTCGGTGTCCATAACGTTCAAATATATATATATATATATATATATACAAACTTCCTCTTTTATAAATATAGATTTGATCATTGGCAGGAATGTTTCTTAAGTCTATCGATATTCACACTCAAACCACAGGTCTCGTGATTATCAAGATCGGCCTGTACAGAGAAGGATGCGGTTTTTGTTTCTACATCTTACAGAAGACATTTAAATGATCATTTATTGCAAGAATATTTACGTTATAATATTGCTGACATTCAGTGGTACCAACCTGTGGAACGCTAGAAACACAGCACAACCTGGTGACCAGTGAGTGAGGTCGTCTTCTTCTTCTTGTTTGTTTGTAAGGTTGGTCACCCTGTCGACAGATTTGTTCACAGTGTCGCGTGCCGGCGTACGACTTCGTTGTCTCAACGGTGATCCAATGACACATTCAACATTCAGGTTGTGGACTAAAGTGATGGTTGCACTATGAGGGTTGGTTTTACGCGGGGAACAGGTTCTTACCTAGAACAGCATGGTATTAAACTGTTTAAAAAATATGAAGTTATATCTTGTACAAAAATATTCCTAATTTCCTAACATGATAAAGTAAAATTCACAAGATCATTGGTGACCCAATTTTAATATACCTACAAATAGTATAAGAAAACTTGTGTGTGAAGACAAAATTATTTTATGATACTTGAGAATAAAGTTGCTTTTAATGGCAAGAAAGGGGCACCAAAGAAAACAGAAATTAAATGGCAAAGGTAATACAACAGAACAAAATGAAGAATTTAACAATGGAGAAAGCAATGCCAGAATTCTTCGCCTGGTCTTTCTCAATCCATTTGTGCTAACATCTCAACATCTGTGCAAAGTAAATTTTCAGAAGGAACGTGAGATACATTTTTTTGACAAAGAAACTCTGCAGTATAGTACAGTTTGGCCAAAGTTTCTGTGCGCGCGACCAGATCTGGTTGGGTCTAGGCGAGGGGGTTGGCGGATGTACTTTTGTGAAAACATTTGTGTCTTGCTATTCACTCACCCCTACCCCCAGCACTGCCAATAACCGGTACCCGTATGTTTTAGTTCGGCTAGTAGCGACCCGTCCCGCGCACAGAAGTTTTGGCCGAACTGTACATACAGTATACCCTAACTTAACCAGCTCCCACAAGATTGAGCCTTGTCAAATAACATAAAGGCCAGTTAAAGCCTACAGGCAACTATAAATTATTTTAAAAATAAATACTTCATTGATAATGATATTACACTGAAGAAAACCCTAATATGAGTTGCTGTTGAAAATACTAAGTTTTGCGTTTTCCAACAAAATTCAGACCAACTGTACGCAATTAGCGATAACACTTGGAGACATTTTAAGGCCGTTTATTTAGCTATCATTGATTAAATGGTTGTAATAGTACCTTTACTTGTTACTCATAATGGCTAAATATATGGGCTTTTAGTTATATAGGCTTGACCTAACCTGGCATTGTTGGCGAGGCCAAAAATCTTTTTGGATTTGAGTGGCCACAGGAGTAAGTAAGTAACCTAACCTAACCTTATTGTAATCTTTGTAGTACTACTCACCGCCCCACTGACAACAGGTACAAACACAAGGTGAACGTTGTCGAACCCTCGTCCCATGATGCCGTGTCGTGGGTGACCCAGGTCAAACGTATGACCAAGCTCATGGCACACAGATCCGAGGGTCGTACTGAAGCATGAGCCGTACGTACCTCTAAACAAAAAACAATGAATATATAAATTTTAATATATAAATTTAGTTCTGCTGCAACCCTGGATAGTCAGTTGGGTCACAGTACTGGAAGTTCATAATTACAAATGTTTATTTTTTACTCGGAAATTATCTGTAGCCTACATATGACAAACTATGGGGAACTAATTGTGTCAAGTTCTAAAATAGGTACCCATTACCAGGCCCTTAGTTTGAAACGAGAAGAGAGTCAACTTGCCTGTAGCAACTATCGTCCATCAACTGTTGAGTATCAACAGGAGTTGGGTCTAGGAAACAAGTGATCACATCTTCTACAACAGAAGGCCACGTATGGAGACAACCAGTTCCAAACAGAGCGAGACCACCACCTCCTAGTGCTGCGTGGGCTCGGACCACACCCTGTGAATAAAACCGGTTATATTTTCAATCAATGAATAATAAACAAAATACAAAAAACAATTATTACTCTTGGATTTATTGAAAACTAAAATGTAAATTTTTAAGCCAAATTACATAGGAGATTAAACATATTTTGTGAGGATAGCAGGCTTTCTTGAATGGAAGAGTTGAATCTAGAACAAAAACAAAAACAATTTAACAAACTACCTATATGGAAAACTATATAGGCCTAATATAATGTCACTGACACCGTTGTTTATTATGAAGACGAGTTTTAAAGATTCCTAAAGACAAGACGCTCTTCAAAATTCACACCTTCGTCGATTGAAAATGTTGTCAGTGACAGTGAATATTAGGCCTATATATAGGCTATTTGGGCCATTCTTCAGAAAAGGACAGATTACGGTCACCAAGGAATAATAAATAAAAATTAAGATAATAAATACATAATTTGTTGTTAAATATGTAGGTAAATGTTTTTTTTATACTTAATGTAAAGAAGAAAAAAATCTAAATGAAATTTAATGAACATTTTATGTCCACAGAAGGTGACATATCACTTCTGTGGACAGTCACCCCCTCTAGGTTTAGCTTAAGATTAGCTGATTTTACTAACAAATTTGAAATACAAATTATTAAACCCAATTGCTCTTGGCTATCTAGACATTGAATATTAATAATTTTTTGTTTATTTTACTTTTTCCATTCTATTAAAGGTAAAAAAAAACAAAGAAACTCGGTCACCAAAGCCTGCATCACTACTGTGGACAGGCATATATGTAGTTCCAAAAAATCCACCAGGCAGCACTGGCCAACTTTCACTATTTTTTTACAGAGAAGAAGTAACCATCTTGAACGTAGAATCAGTTTGGTTGTGTTCTGTTCAGTTGTTAGTTGTTTATATCATGTGAAACTAGAGTTTTAATTGATCGTCTAGCTAACATAGTCACTTCCGTTACCACATTTTAAAGGTAGGCCTAATTATGCATGTCAATTAAACCTAATACACTAATTTACAGTAGTTTATGTGTTTCTCTACAAAAATAAGAGCAAACATTGTTCCTGACCTATTTGCTAGACTCTATGTTAGGCATAAAATGCTAAATCATCACTTCTGTGGACACTAGCAGTTACCCGGCGCGCGTTGCTGCGCTTTAACAACTATTATTTTAAATGACAATTAAACCTAATACACTAATTTACAGTAGTTTATGTGATTCTCTAGAGCAAACATTGTTCCTAACCTATTTGCTAGACTCTATATGTAGGCATAAAATGCTAAATCATCACTTCTGTGGACACCTAGCAGTTACCCGAAGCGCGTTGCTGCGCTTAACAACTATTATTTTAAATGGCAATTAAACCTAATACACTAATTTACAGTAGTTTATGTGTTCCTCTACAAAAATTAGAGCAAACATGTTCCTAACCTATTTGCTAGAATCTATATTTGCTTTTTAACTTTATTTGTAAAATTTGCAGTTGCGATAGTCACTTCTGTGGACATGCTAGTTTTTAAATACTAAAAATCTGGGAAAGTGATTTGTATTTAGTGTGACCATTGCAATGGGTAAATATTAAAAAGGGTCATACATTAAAATAGGCTATCTAAACAAATTTAAAAAATAAAAATATAAAATTGAAATCTGTCCTTTTCTGAAGAATGGCCCATTTGTGTTTCTTGAGCCAGATTGGAGTCTTTCCATTTCAGGTAAGCCTGCTATTATCAAAAACATCCAAAAACTTAGGCCCTTTAGATGTTTCTGTTCATAACTTTTCAATTTGAATTTTATAGACAGAGTTGTTGCTTAGGTCTACTGCAGCCATGAACATTCAGCACCAATTACAAAAATCGTCACACCACAGCATTAGGCTAATTAACTGTTTGTCAAAAAATCAATAGCCTATTAAAAACTTAAATGACTCTATGTTTTGTGTTCAGTTACAACAAATACTTCTGCTTACAGTAACTAACTTTTATGTAGACTTAAGTTTAAGTGTATTGGAACATTCTTTATGGATTAAGAATAGGCCTAGGGCCTACATAAAATTAAGTTAGGTTGGCCTACCCTACATGCGGTTTAACTTACCTTGCTTCCATCCCATTGCGTGCAAGACAGAAAAGCGAGGAACTTACGGTTGCTTGAGCTCAACCGTGACGACATAATTTCCCTGCCAAAATAAGTCCATAGTTCCTCCTGACCCATGGTTCTCGCTTGAGCGACAGACAAACTGCTTTGAAACCGAACACACTCATCTTCGGGATCGTTCAAGTCTCTTTCCAACTGAAAGGTTTTTCTTTCATACCCGCTCTCAAACAGTTTTTGAGCAGTAAGACACTGAATAAGACGAGCACCAACACCGATCTTGCGACATGCTACTTCGATGGAGTTATCACAGTTATTAGGAGCTTGGAACCTTCCGTTGTGGTCCTTACAGATAATGTAGACTGGGGTCACACAGTATTTTGTGTCACGAGGCGAGTAGTGTAGTTTGATCTCCAGGCTAGTCTTACAATACTTTAACACGATGGTGTTATCTCCGTTGCATAAATCGGCCAAACATTTGAATCTGTTTTTTACAACTGGCCATTCTGATGTTTTATTTGTTGTGATGTTATTCAAAATGAGTGAACTACTCTCAGTATTGTAACATTTGCTGTTAATATTGCTGATTCTTACAAATCCTTTGATCAAGACTAAAGAGAAGGTCACTTTTTCATCAGGTAAAAGGTCACTCAAAATTAGCCTATGAGGACATGACACCACCTCCGATGTCGCCATTTAGTCTGAAAATAAGAGATTAAGATTTAGCAATTGCAAGAATGGGATGAAGAAACATAGGGTAACCGGCTGGACGGTAAATTACAACTATCCCCTACTTAATCAACTATTATTAACTTAGATCAGCAACATAATGCAGTGCACAGTTGTTATAGGCTAGCTTATTGATAGACATAGGCCTACAATAGGCTTTGTCAAGCATGTTGAACTTAAATAATTGTCATTAAGTAAAGTCATAGGCCTACTTAAATAAGTTACCGTAACAGAAGTCTTATCCTGAAAAAATAAAACTTTAAAATTGATGTTAGTAACGTATTGCTTTTTGCTAAGTGAGCTCAATTGTTATAATAACTTATTGTTTGGTGAAACTTAAGCTATCACTCGTATTTTCGTACATTCATTATTGATTGTTAACATTTTAGAGGCAACTTGCCTAGTGTTTTTCAGTTGGAATTAGAGTCATCAATAAAATTGGTGTTTTTAAACGCTTAGTGGTGTTTTCAGTTAGGCATAGCCTAGGCCTAAGCTATATATTTTAAGTAGGCCTTAGGCCTAAGTTATCTAGGCCTAGAAATGCATAAGTTAACTAGAATTTGATTTAAAAACCTTATTGATTGGTACCTAAGTACTTAGGCCTAGACTTCTTAAAGTTGGACTCAGTTTTCACTGTTATTCAAGTATCATTGCATACAAAAGTATTTAAGTTATTGCTACACAAATTTACCTTGCAGTAATTAGCAGTTAGCCTAGCCTAGGACTAGGCTATTAAAAATAAAAATGACACTAAGCTATAAATTTACGAGAGGATGAAAATATCAATCAAAATAAACAACACAACTGAATTGATCCTTGTAAGTCATGTTATAGCTACAAAATAAAAGTTGAAGATGATGAATAAAATACACACACACAAATAAATAATACTTCAGCAATCAGCAGACTATTTTCCGTTGTGTTGTCTGTTGCTGTTCCTGTTCAGTGTGTCCACAGGGGTACCACTTTTTTGTACTAAATTTCCCTGAAAAATGTACAAGATTTCCTAATGTAGGTACAAGATCTTACAAAAGATAGAGTAATACTACTTTATATGGCTCTCTGTGTTATACCATAGAGACTAACCAAAGTTCTTTGACGTTTTTATCCTTGTGGTGGCACCTTGACGCTCGCCCATAGAAATAAAACCATTAAATTAATCAGGTCTCCTCTCACCTTCACACTTAATAACATAAAACTCATTGTTCTAATTATTTGATAAAGAGGAACGCCCTCTTGTTAAATTTGACTTTAAAAGTGAATGCCTACTAAACTTTAATGCAGAATTCTGACTTTTTTCATAACACAAGTAGACTTCTCATCCCATTGTAAATTTTGAGGCTCGTTTTTCGTATCTAGTTCATGTCCGGTGACACTGACCGCTAGTATCGACGAAATTTTTTTTCTATTATTTTAGGATTGATTTCATTATTTGCGCTATACTGTTTGACATAACTACGGGACAAGCTATTGTTTATGATAAGATCGTTTTATTTGGCTAATGGCTGAACGAAGTTTTAAAAGAAACTAACTGAAATAACAAGAAACAAATTATAAACAAAACATCACCTCTACAGTTCACCGCGGCAGAAATAACAATAAAATTGGCTTCAGCTGTTCCATAAGAATGAGAAATCCACTAAGGCAGTACATTTGCTTATCTATGTATTTTATTATAGCCGGTAATTTATTGTTATAAAATTACATAGAGTAAGTTATGGCATGTGGTCTTTACAATTCAACCAAGATATGAAAATCCGGAGTTGCCAACTGTTATTTATTAACTTAAAAATCCCCCAAACTGCGTGTATTTTTCAATTTTTATAAAAACAGATTTTGAAGGAAAATGTACAAGATTCAGTGAACAATGTACTAGGGTACAAGAAAATATCAAAATGTACTAGATCTTGTACAATTGTACAAGCTGTGGACACACTGTTCCTGTTGGTTAGTGAGTGGTGGGAATCACCGAATGAAAATAACCGAATCAATCGGTTATTGATGCTGAATAGACTAGTTCGGTTATTTTATCGTGGTTCGGTTAAATTAGTCTTACCGTGCGATTCGGTGATTTAGTTATTTAGTTGATTTAGTTTGTCACATAATCAGGTAACTAAAATTTATTTGGCGATTCGTTCGACTAAAAATCACCGATTGACGCTGAAAGACTAAATACCATTCAGTTTCCCATAGGATAAAAATTAGTTGTGGTTTGTGATACTGAATAATGACTAAAATTGATTCGGTGATTCATTCAACTAAAAATAACCGATTGACGCAAAAAATAACTGATTGATTATTCGGTCATGGAAACCATTCGGTTATCCCATCACTACGGTTGGTGTTGGGTTGAATCCAATCCAGCCAGAGTCAGAGTCCAGATCCAGAGATCCAGATATGATTACTTACTTTAGTCAGCTGGTTCCGGTGCGTTTTTAGCATTGAGATATAGATTATAAGTTTTTAGCCACTGAGCTATAATTCTAGCTATAATTATAATTCTATAATTATAATTTAAGCTCAGTGGTTTTTAGCACCTTTTATAGTTCGGCCGCTTAGAAAACGACCTCCTCCAGCATTGGTTTAGCATTAGTGCGCAGGTCGTTTTCTAAGCGGCCGAGCTATAGCAGTTGTTCAGCTCAACAACAAAATAGAAAAAGGCTGTCTCTGCTTGCACAATATTTAACTCTTCAGTCTTCATTGAATGTAATAAATATCTATAGGTAGCATAATTGATTATATTTAATGCATTTCTTACCTCAAGGGGATTTCAAGCCACTGGCGGCTTAAATGAGGCTCAGAATATATGACAATACTATTTTTTACTGAAACTATTAATGAAATGAATTATTAAATTGTAGACCTACTGTCGTTAGTAGGTACATAAAATAGAGGATAAGATTAACTATGAATAAAAATGTTTTCGTGAACAAAACCATAAGTCTGAACAATAATAATATTTTTATTTAATAATCATATGATCTGAGTATAAGGGGACGTCCAAATATTATGTAACACGTTTTTCGTCATCCCCCCCCTTGTAACGCTGCATTGCATAACGCAAACCTAAACCCCCCTGGAACGTAACGCTGCCGCTGTCAAGATATTTTCTTAAACAAGGTTGGGGCACAGTTTCTTAACTGGGCTATGCTAATATCGATTGAAACTATCGAATTGAAAATATTGATTAGTAATCGATATTTTTATATATATCTATTATTAAAATAAACTATCATAACCTAACCTAACCAACCAAACTTGCTGATAGTGAAAAAATCGCTCGAAGGTTTACTTATTGAATCAATAGTTTCAATCGATATTAGCATAGCCCAGTTAAGAAACTGTACCCCAAGGTTGTGGGGTATGGAATCTAGGTGGAATTTTCTTCAGAAAAAAAAATTAATTGTGTTTGATGTACAACAAACCATTATAAGAACAAACTTACAGTTTATTTGGACAAAAAAATAACCTAAATGGATTAACTTTAACAATGAAACATCATTTAAAAAAAAACTGCAATTGTATACTAATGACTTTGTATGTGTTAAGCGTCTTTTTACTGTAGCATTTCTGAATAAAATTTACAAACGGTTATTTAACACTACAAAATTCAGATTCATCTTTAGTTTTCATCATACAACCAAGACAATACCTTACTAGACCTATTACTAGTTGCCTTGATTCAACCCTGGGTGACTAATCTATCTTTCATGTTATAAATGACTGGACGATCAGAACTAGAAGTTGAAAGGACGTTTGAAGTTTTGGAACTAGAGTATTAGTTCCAGACCAAAAATAAACAATAACAGATTTAAAAAGAATGATGGACTACAAATAAATTTACTTTAATAATTTTATCATTTAGGTACTTTGGAAAAAACAAAGATTTCCTTGGCCTTTAAATGATTTTGAAAACCCTCTTCACTAAACCGAACCCCTCTCTTGAGCTTTGCCTTATATGTCGCCAACAGAGATAACTTTTTCACCGTTTGTTCAACAACTTTAGTTTAATGATATTATCTCGTTTTCACACCCCTCAGTGTTACGGCAGGCGCGGGTGTATATTTTTAAATATTTTTTTTCTTTTCTACGCTGGTGCCGTTTGACAAAGAAGAGAGATGAGTGTCAGTCAAACACTTTTTGGGGAAGCTGTGTCATCGTCATTATCATCATCACGGCCCACTGTTGCAGTAAATATTATGATAATACATAATTAAGATTGTAACGGTTTTATTAATCATCACCTCAACCTTTTAAGAGGGATGATTCTTGACTTAATACTGCCCCCAAAACCCAAAAGACTAAGTCTAGGATTATACCACCCCATTTACTCACTAACTTCAAAGCTTGCAAACTCAGAAACCTATTTTCCATAGTTTTGGACTATAGAGATAATCCACAACCCTGGCTATTAAAAATAAAGAAAAACAGCAATAAAATCGTAACAAGGAAAGAGAGATAGATAAAACAGATTTTTTTGTTGGCCATGGACAACGCAACGGCCCCACTCATGATGACTCCTACTCCCGTGGCCTCGTTTTGTGTAAGAATATTAGGGTTGCAGAATTTGGTATAGTAACCTACCACAAAACAGAACAAAACCACAGGAGTGGTTCGTTGTGTTAATTTGATGCCTCTTAGTCTCCTTCTTTAATACACTGTACATTGATGACTGACTTCGCTTGCAACACGAATGCTCTGTTGTTAGTTTATTTTGCAACTACTAGATGGGTCACACATAAATACTCTATTCTATTCTTTTCACCTCATTATTTACTAGCACTGGTATCTAAAATTGTGGCTTAGCAGTAGTTATGTGGATATTAATTGTAGTCAGCAATAGTGTTGTCATTTTGATTAGTGTTAGCCACAAATAAAATGCATCTTATTTGAAATCAATTGACTTTCCCCTGTTTTTGAGCAGTGGGGGCCTGACAAAATGTGGTTTTTGTAAAACACAACTATACTATAAGTAAACGTTTTTTTCAATTCTATCTTTTGTCAGTAATCATAGTTCAATTCGTGGGCATTTTTTAATGAAATAATAAACAAACACTACCTATAGAAATTTTGTAATAGTTGTATATAATTATACAGTATTTACAAGTAAGACAATGTACAAATGACGGGTACCTTAACAATTGACAATCATAGTAAATGGCCCGACAAACATCATGAAAGATAAAAAAATGTCTTGTACAGTTATAAAATCTTTAGGAAATATTTGCAAAATAAACATTTTAAGTTATGGTTTCTAGACACATGCGGTGTTTTTAGATTTTTGAAAAAATGTTTTAAGTTACATTAAATTTATTTGAGTAGGTTTTCATTTAATTTCAAAGCAATTCAACACAATATAATTTTACTTTGACCAACTCTAAGAAGAAGTCCTATAATATACTCTGTTCACAAAATTTAGCAGGTTTGAGGAGAAGCTATTTCATCACCTTCACCTCACCCTAACTTTGAAATAATAGCCGTTAATACATTAACCCAAAAAACTGGTGGAGGAACCCATGAAACTTTTAAAAACTGCCAAAATTTTGTGAACGAAATAATATGACGAAATATCAGTGTTATATTTTCATTTTGTGACTATTTATTGTGTAGCTATTATCCTCAGGACTCTAATATATATTTTTTTCTCTAATAAGTTGAGCTCTATTTCTGCATAAAAATACCTTAGCACAATACAATTTCTAAGCAAAAAAACTATGTTTACATAAATAAATGCTGACTTAAAAATTATGTTTTTGGATGAAAATGTTACATTTGATAGGATGCTTGTTGAAAGCATAAAACCATAATGACTTTTTGAACTAATCGTTCAACATTTTGCTGGGAAAACGAACCATTTTGTCATATTATTCTGGACGTATCTGACTCATGAATATTGTAAGCCACAAATTGTTTATTCATCTTCTTCTTCATCTTCTATTTCCAGGTCGGCTCGAGCTTTTTTACTCGTTGGCTCTGAAGCTGCAACATACAAATTTGTCTTGATAGAAAATAATACTCAAACTTTATTGACTCACAATATTTTGTCACGATAGCTAAATAAAAATTTTCGCTAATTATATCTCAAGCCAATAGCGCATACCGCAGGCCTGAAAAAAATGAGAACGTTAGAAGCAGATGCCTAAAGTCATGTGCATATTTTCTGAGTACAGTTAGGGTCGGTAAAAAGTATTAGATTCGAGATTGAGATTCGATTTTTCAAGATTTGTCTTGTAATTAAAATCCCTGTATGACCCTAACCACTGCAAATAAAAACAAATAAATTGATACAAATCAGTAAATAAACAGATGTAAAACAATTACAGGATACTGCTTCGACACTGCTTGTGATTGGTGCTAACCTTGTTTGAACGACGCAGCAGTCCGCTTCCTAAGCTGCTCAACATCCTCGTCCTCCTGCGCCCACTCCAGGACGAGTCTGCGGCCGAAGAAATGAGTGCTCTGACACAACGCTTGCATGGCCCTCTGGAACACACAATAATAATAATAGTTTTTTTCATAAACATAGAATACTAGCTGGCCCGACAGACGTCGTCCTGTCCTAATGTGGTTTTATGTCAAATGCTGAAATGCTCGTTCATTTTCAAGGTAAGCTTGTTCAGATGGCTCACGTCCTGGTTGAAGTTCTTTCGCTCACTCACCTTTAGGTTGGAGCTCGTTCGCTGCGCTCACTTGCCTTTAGGTTAGCTCGTTTGCTACGCTAACTCGCCTCCAGGTTGAAGTTCGTTCGCTACGCTCACTCACCTGTTGGTTGCAAATTAGCTGTTGTCATGAATAAACAAAAAAAAATAATAATAGTGCTGCACTCTGTTGGTAAACCTATTAACTTTTTAATGCTATTGAACAACACAGAATCAAATTGTTTAGTTGAAGCAGCTGTTAAGATTCTTCAATTCCATTTAAATATGAGTACTCATAAGGTTAACATGGAAAAACTCCAGAACCACTGGGGCGGAGCCCTTTTGACGGATCTGCAACAAACTTCACACAAACCATCCTTGAATAATGCCTGAAAGTTTCATTACAATCTGTCGAGCGGTTTCGGAGTCTATAAAGGACAAACAAACAAACATACATTGGATTTTATATATATAGATAACTAAGATGGAAGTTAAAAAAAAACATACTTCATAATAAAAGACTTAGGCCTAATAGATCCTTTTAAAAACAAAGTCTGAACAAAGAAACAGCAAGTAAACTTATAAAATTAGTTTACCAAGAAAATAGCCAACTTACTTTTGCGTCATGTTTGGTGTGGAACTCCACAAAGGCGAATCCTCTATGAGACCCAGTTCCCACCATCTTTTTCGGCAGCCTCAACGATTTGATCTCTCCAAAAGTCCTAAACAAGTAATCATTTGTTAGAAATTCATTTTAAGTAATGGTTATAACATTCATCAACATTATTACATTTATCAATAAACAAATCAAACTTACACAAAAAGCTGTTGGACTTCTTTTTGGGTTGCTTGGAACGGGATGTTTCGTACCAAGATTTTGGTACCGGTTTGTTTCTCAACATTGTTCTTCTTTCTCGGTTGATTTTTATTGTCTCTGTAACAAAAATACCAAGTTTCAGATATATTTGTATGTGATGTGAATGACAGTCACATATGTGGAGTAATGTGTTCAAAACAATGCATGGAAAATAAAATCACACAGAGTTTATGTACCTTAATACTTTTAACTGAAATGGTGACCATACATAGTTCCCCTTAAAACTACTATTAGTATTTAAGGTAGTGTTTTAAGCCAAGTATGAATAGAGATGAGTGTAGGATGAGTGGCGCAATCTTGTAGTCTTGTTACTGACTAAGTCCAACATGTTCCTTACAGGACTGTTAATTGATAACCCTTTGATGATTAAATAATCAATAATTCCTCCGCTGAAGAAGCACTGAAAGGAGCAAAATATCAGTTAAATTGGGTTCCTTTAACCTCCTGGGACTCTTTCATCACGTGAGTTATTTGAGTATTTTCTTTCCTTAACAAATTCTACAGCCAAGTTGCATTTTTCCCTTAAAAAATTACATTACAAAATTTATGATTGCTAAAGATAACGAGCCTACTGTTTTCATACTTATAACCATATCTGTCAGGGCTGCCTTGAAACCCTACATAGTATTTAATGAACTGTGGTATCTAATGCCCTGGACTAAAAGTATGTTCGTTTCTAATTTTGAGAAAATAATAAATGAAAAGGTAAGATTTTTATTGTTATTATTGATGGCTGAGCTATCTGCCTTCAAGTCTTAAATACCGTAGTTCCGAACATACTTACTGTAGAGTCCTGTTCGAGCGCTTAAGTTCCAGCTGATGTCCATCGAGTGTCGAGTGTTGTAGTTGTTTGAGTGCTTGGTTCAGTTCTGCTTGTTTGTAGAACTGCACAAAGCCGTATCCCATGCTGAGCACCTCCCCCGGCCTTGCAGGGTCTTTCTTGCGTGCGATCGTCACACTGGCTACCTTGCCACACTTGCGGAAATGCTGCAACAATAGGGAAATTGGGAAATGTCAGTTTGGTGGCTTATATAGTTGTGCGACTGCAAATGCAAGACAGTATTGTCGTGGACTCATGTCCCGTTGCAAGATGTAAAAAGGTGCGGGTATTGATTTTTCTTGAACTGTACCAATCACCATTTGCTTTGCTTAAAATGTTTCCTACACAGTGTTCAAGTTTAAAGGAGATAGACTAAATAAAATAGTTACAATAACATGGAACTACCAGTTTATTTAAGCCGTTAGTAAAATAATTGAGAAACTAGGATAGTATCCAGTTTTGGTTTAGAAGATCACTGAAAAATTACATAGGCCTAGTTAAGATCTCTTGTGTAGTCCACTAAATTGAGTTTAAAACTAAATATATCTTTGAAGACTAATCTAACATGTAGAAAATAAAAATAAAAGTGCCAATAGGTTTAGAAATGTTTGAAAAATATGATTAATATAACTAGCATTGTGTGATGAAAAATATTCAATACCTAGGCAATACTCATATAAAATACCCCCGCCGCAGCAAACCTGACGCCTAAGCGAATTTCCATTTGGCTGAATTGATTTTCAATTTATCGATTTAAATAAAATTAGGTCCAACGAGTACCTAGGTTTGCTGCTACAAGGAAACTATAATATTATTCAAACCAAATTTCATCAAAATCGGATAAAAATTACTCAAGTTATCGTGTTCACGGACACATATATCCTACTAATATTATAAATGAGAAAGTTTGGATGTATGGATGTATGGATGGATGTATGTTTGTGACAAGTGAACGCGAAAAATACTGGTCGGATTGGGCTGAAATTTGGCATGATGATAGCTCACATTCCCGATTAACATATAGGCATATTCTTATTTCAAAAATCCTTTCGGGCTCCGCCCCAGTGGCTCTGGAGTTTCCCATGTTAACCTTATGAGAAATGAAATTATTTAATCTTAACAGCTGTTTCAATTAAACAAGTTGGTTCTGTTCTGTGATGTTTAATTGAACTGTTTAATGCAATAGCATTAAAGTTACAAAAATTACCAACAGGGTGCAGCAATATTATTTCTTTTACATTTATGACAACAGCTAATTTGCAACCAAAAGGTGAGTGAGCGTAGCGAACGAACTTCAACCTGGAGGCGAGTTAGCGTAGCGAACGAGCTAACCTGAAGGCAAGTGAGCGCAGCGAACGAGCTCCAACCTAAAGGTGAGTGAGCGTAGCGAACGAGCTCCAACCCAAAGGTGAGTGAGCGTAGCGAACGAGCTCCAACCTAAAGGTGAGTGAGCGTAGCGAACGAGCTCCAACCTAAAGGTGAGTGAACGTAGCGAACAAACTTCAACCAGGACGTGATTGAGCCATGCGAACGAGATAATCTTGAAAATTAAGAAGTTAAACGGGGCAAAGCCCGCGGGTTACAGCTAGTATATATATATATATATATACATATATAAAAATTTGAACGAGTGGTGTTTTTGGCCTCTGGGGACATCAAAATGAAAAAGTAAATCGGTCCCGGGCCTAAGTCTTACCATGAGACCTACGGTAATAGCTACTTCCCTATAGGGAAATTCGCTAAAAGTAAAAATATCAAATTTCCATCAGTTATAGAATCCAAAAGAAATTTCCTTAAGCCATCTTGGGAAAACTGGGTTGCCTTCAGTAAATAGTTTTCATACAAAATCAAATGTAGCTTTAACTGTCAGCCGAAACATATAAATTTGTTCCAGGTTATGTAACGGAAATTCTGAGCCTCGAAATAAATGTTAATTTACTAAGCTTACCTGTTTAATGCTCTCTTCTTGTGTGTCAAAGTTAAGGTTTTTAACATATAATGTAGTGTCTGGTTCAGGTTCCACATTTTCATCTTCATCACTTTCACTTTCCTGCTTTGTTCCATCTTCCACTTCATCCTTGATTTCACTTTCGTCTTCGGCTTTCTCTTTTTTCGCTAGAGGAAAACAACTTGGATTAAATAACAAGTAAGTTTATTTAAACTTATACATAACCAGGGAATTTCTCAAACGAACAATGAATTGTCACTAATATTTTTCTTATAAAATGTGAGTGTAAATTCCAGCAACATTTTATATACCAACATGTAATGGGTTGATGCATATTTAAAAAAATTAATTAATTAATTATAGTGGGAAAAGAATAATGTTAATTCAAATTCAAATTCGGAAGAAACCGCCAACAAGTTCAAATACAAAGAGGGGGGGTTGAATGACCTTCCAGATTATCCGAGAACATTCTAGAAGGTTTCAGAGCACTCTGGGTAACTTCCGTGTCTGGTTCCATAAAGATCTAGAAAGATGTAGAAGCTTCGAGAGCTTTCGGGTTAGTTTCCGTTTCGGTCGGGCAGCGCTCCTAACGGGGAGAGTAGAACTAAAATCGAGTAGAGAGGAAAGCGAGGGAGGTTATTCGTTTGTCAGCTAGCCACCAGGTAGGGGACATCGCCATTTTTTGGTGAGGTAAGTGCGTTGTTCAACGAGGGCCGTCAGATGAATCGTCAATAAGAATGTCTCCTAAACGTGCTTATATTTCATCCCCGTGAGCATGCATCAAGTATTGTCAATCTAGTTGCGGTGCGAGTTTAGGCGATATCTACATCGAAAGGAAGTTGCTGCCCCTCACTTCCCAGGAGGACTCGACTCCCGACGCCATGTCTGTGGCTAGTGGTGGATGGATCTTTACTCGCACTCACTGCTGATACTAAGATGAGTACTATTTAAGTAAATGTAACTTAGTAAATTTAAGTCCATGGTTGTATCTTTCCTTTTCAAATAGGCTATCAAAACATCCTGTCAGAAGTTGTTGTTAATATTGTCAGAAGTCCGTTGAATCAGCAGTTAATTTAATTATGTAACAATGTCACTTAAGTAACTTTATCTAATGTCAAATAGCTTATTTTTTTATTGAAATTAGTGAATTAAATGTAAATATTTATATAAACAGGTTCATTTTATTACCTATTCAGCTTCACATGAGCCAAAACATCCCTAAGAGCAGACAATCAAGCGAGCCTACATAGGCCTAGGCTCATTCTAAATGAAATATAAAAAAATATTAAATTGTATTGCAAAGAAATTAGTCAAGATTATACATAACGTCACAATAAAAAGTGTGAGAACGAAACAGAAAAAGTAATACAATTTCTATCCCACAGGGTCTTCCTCCGCTGTGAGCGGTGTAGTACATGAGGGTGAGGGGTTAGCGTTGGACTATGCCCTAGACACCAACACTCGGGCTATACACCACTTAAATGTACCTTACTTCATTGTATCCTCTATACCTTCCTCCTCTGTGACTCAGAGAAGAAAACACGTTCTTTTTTAATTTCTCACCATGAATCCTAACAGAATGTTAAATTGAGCAAATATTTACCAGTAACTTGAGAGAAGGTGTCGTCAGGAGCCCATTCCAGGTACAGAGGAAGGTTTTTGAACCTGGTGTAGGCTAGGGCGAGGAATGCCTTCTTGGCTTCCGACGCTTCAAGGAACTCGACGATTGCTAGAATGATGAAAACGATGGTAAATATTGTATACAACTAAAGACAAGTGTATTATTTTAAGTAATCGACTGATAACTAAACAAATTAGATGTGCGAATTGTTTAGTGGGTTATTGCAAGATGTCTACTCTGAGGACCTTGGTTCAAATCCTACAAAACACCAACTACTTTTGACTGTTTCATAATGCCATCTGTTAATGTACTTTAAGCTGGGATAAAATTGAATTGAGATTCAACTATTTGGGAAAAAAGCATTAGTCTCTTAGCGAAGGAGGACTTGCTATGTCCTTAATGTGTCTGAGAAACTAATTATAAAAGTCATACCAAAAAAATCAAAACATAATAGTTAAGAATAAAACAAAATCCTAAAGACTTTTCAAAAGTTTATCTGAAGATGGCATTTTTTCACGGACCTAAGCAATGATCAACAGTAATGAAAAATTGGGATTGTTGTTTAACTAAAAAAATATCCACTCACCTGTTACACCAATGGGGGGTAAAACCACCCTTCCTAACTCCCCGAATTTGCAGAACAACTCGTTGATTTCCGCAGCTGTAGTTTTGGCAGGTAGATTTTTAACGAGGATAACCGTTTTCGATCGCAGCTTTGGGGCCTGAAAAAATTATGAACTACTTTAAAAAAACGTTTGATTCAGTGAATTGATAGGTAGGTTAAAAAATATAAATCAAATTAATGGTTTGGTTAGGAAAACAGTTGTGTTAAGCTATCTCTAGAGGAAGAAGCCTCTTTTAGGTTCACAGTGATACATATAAAAAATGCATGGTAGTTTGATTAATTTGTGTGGTTACAGTTGCAACTTTATTTCATTCAAAAATTACTAAGTGAACTTGAAAACCATGCTACAACTTTTTACTATAAGCAGATAAGATTTGACATTTGATCAGGCCCTTGAAGGCCTAGACCCTGGGGCTCTGGCCCCCCCTGCCCCACCCTCTATCCGGCCCTGAAGGTCAACGTTAGATAGTAACAAGACCATGGTTTGGACTGTTCCAAAAAAAAAAACCCTTGAAAAATGCCAAAGATTTAGATATGTCTAAAATACTTGTGATACACAGAAAAAACCCACCATGGATTACATACCTGGTTGAATGCGTCCAGTGACACCCCGTTGTCCAACAGGAACTGTCGCGTTTCCGAGACTATTTGAGTTTCTCCCAGGGCAACTCTCACAGCCACGTCTGCTCCTGTTAGGACCTGTCGACACAAAACAACATATGAACCAATCTAACAAAATCTAAATCCTCCCGTTAATCTGTGTGTTAATTACCAGCTAGAAAAATTTTATTTTCAAAAATTTTAAAGTGTCAACATTTCATTTAATGTAGTTGGTGTTTTTTAATCTTTGATACCTGAGAATGTACAGTTCTGAAAATGTATTTATTCACCAGTTTGTATTGATATGAAAATTAATTGTTTTTATTAAGCATCTCCTTAGTTTTTACAAACCGTTTCTAATTTACACCCCTTTATCGTTGGGAATATTTTTGGGAAAATTTCCCAAAAACAAGTCGTATTTTAGTATCAACTAACCTGGTAGTTTTACTTTAAATTACAGAAGCCATAAGTCTAAGTGTTGTTTCTCAATAAAAATATTTTCTCCGACACAAATCAACTTGCCTAGATTAGGCTTGTCATAGTTACCTTATGTATTTTTGTTTTGTTTTTTTTTGTTCTTGATATTTACTGATCTACATTTTGCCAAATGCATGAAATCTTCACAGTTCACTAAATTAATAAACTGCATAAACAAGTATTCGTGGAACACTATCAGTCTTATTTCATTTTTCAAATACTCAAAATTTATGTGTTAATGATATTATGATTATTATGTGCTGTTATCAAACTAAAAACCTAAATCGAATCAACTCACACTTTGTTTGGAAGTATTGTATTTCTCCGCCATCACGTTCAAAATGGCGTTTTGACCCAAGAACAAACTATTCCAATTGTGAGACTGGCCTGCGGTGGCTTTCTCTTTGTCTCTTTTCTTTTCTTTGAAGCTCTTGTTCTCACCATCATCTGAAGAATAGTTACACAAAAATTGTACTTTGAGAAGTTATTTGGATGAAAAAATACTATATCAATATACTAAATAATGAGCTTAAGGACTAAACTTTACAAAAGATTGGACAAGTAGAATCCCTTATAAAATGCATACACCATGTTAACTTTCAGCAAAGCACTTAACAGGAATCTCAAAAGTCATGTTAAGATTCATTATTGCGACATAGTTCTTCACTCCGCCATATGGTTTGGTTCAGGTTTCCAGTGGACATCATTTCCGTTTCCCGTCACCATCGTCCCCGCCATTACCGGTCGTCCACAAGAGCTCAGTCTGGCTTAAGCACATTTTGTAAAGACTTGCTCATTTTGTTTGTACCCACCTTAGTTCTAAATTTATCCATGTTTGCCTCCTGGATTGAATAATAATAATAATAATAGGTTAAATACCTTGTATACGTCCTCAATCCAAGTCGTCTTTTATAATGACTATAGTTTCGGGGCCAACATTCCCATTGTCAAATTTTCTGTCTTGTTAATTACTGTTTATAGCATTGGTCACCGTTGAAGTTCACATATACACATACACTGACACACAAAACATTTATATTTACACGTAACATTGAAAAATTATACTTTTTGGCCGGCCTAAACAAAAGTGATTACATCGTTGTACGGACCGGTAAACTGACTGACATGAGTGAGTCAGTCAGTGTACCGGTCAAATTTGACAATGGGGTCGTTGGCCCCGAAACTATTGGATTGAGGACAAATACAAGGTATTTAACCTATTATTATTATTAGTTCTAAACCTCTTGTATTGTTTCAGGTTTAATATAGTTTTTTATGCATGCTGTTCTGATTCTAACATTCTATGAGATTTTACAGCTTTAGCTGGGTTTGTTTACAAATTTTGTCATGTTTTAGGAACTTTTTCACGTGAGGACGGGATCAGATTCCAAGAACCTGAATGAGCCATTCAAGGAGTGCACTGTCTAAAATTCTATTTTCTACATTAGTTTTTGTTACTGAGATAAAATCTTGGTGTGATAAAAAAATTCCTAAGCTTTCAATAATTTTGTCGTATCAGTTTAACTTGATTGAAGATATACCATGTTCAACATAAATCAGTAATTAACCCACCCACTCTGTCGACTAAACTCAACTACGTCCTATTTTATTCTATTACTGGCAACAATCTTAACATGGGAATGTGTAGTTCCACCAATAGTCAAATGTATTTAGTTTACTTTAATAACTTGTAATAATTTATATCATGCACTGTCAACATTTGTCAAAAACCAACCTTCCTCCGTTTTCTTGGTCTTGGCCGGAAGAAGATGAAGCATCCTCCCAAGGAAAACAGTTCCGTCGAGAGCCGAGTAGGCTGCAACGGCATGTTCGGGCATAACATACGTCACTGTCGCAAATCCCTTCACTTGACGACTTGTTTTGTCCACAGGTAACGTGACATCAGCCAGGGGTCCTGGAGAGGATGAAATAAATCACTTAGAGATACTAATTTTTCGGTCTCCCCTTCGCATCCTAGGGTGCATGAAACGTTTTAACAATACTTCTGTCTTTGAGGGTGTGACATCACCAGGCAGATAACATCCATTGGTGATTGGTGGGATTTGAACCCAGGATCTCATGGGCCGATGCGCTGTGCTCTACTACTAGGCCAGCCCTTAAGCTCGCTTCTCTACCTAAAGATTTCTCAGAATGTGTCGAATAAAGATATATTACTAACTCTTGTGAGTCATCCAATCTGTAGGCATATTGAAATTCAATTCTTGTGAGATGTCTTCTTGTTTGCGCTAGTCACTTTAAAAAATTCGAACTAGGATATTTACCTAGTATGTGACGTAGTTAAAAATAAACAATGATTTTTTTAAATATGCAATTCCGATTCTCTAATATTTTTCTAATAGCCTAAGAGTACACAAGAAGGCATTATAAGCTGACTATTTTTAGCTTATGCTTATTGGTTCTAGTTCTACTTTAGGTAATCCGCCTTACCACCTCCCTTATCAGGTTGTCCCTGCTCCCTATCAGGCTAAGAATCGACAAGTATAATGTTTTAGACAAAAATTTGTTTAGCGCAAAAATGTAAAGATTGTTTAAGCGGTTTAGAAATTTTTTGCGGTTTAAAAATAAATCTCACCGTAGGGAGAGAAGAGCTCAGTAAGATTTTCCTCCGTGATCGTGTAGGCTAGATTCCTCACAAAGATGCTGCCTGATTCTGCAATGCTCTCTTCTTGCATCAAAGCTTCTTCTTGCTCTCTCCATCTGTGGAATGATCATTCACTTATGCTAGTGACATTGAGCTCAAATGAATCCATCAACATTTTTCAAGGTAAGTAAAAAAGTTAAAACATTCTTTGCTGAATTATGAATTAGGTTGTTGATTATTAGATTGAACAGCAATCTAATTTGGATCGTAAAACTTAATACTTATCTTACTCGTCTAGGCCTACAAATGCTCAACTCTTGAGGGGTTCATCTGTCTGTATGTCTGAACCGGTTTGGTGGAAGAGGCCCACCAACATTAAGAGTGGACGACTTGGGAGCAACATGACGAGATGGGTTGATTTTTGCGAGTCACCAGTTCAGTCACATCAGTCACGTCACAGTTAGAAAACAAATTTACTCTTCAATGGATTTTCTTTTGCGCTATCTACCCTCATACAGTGCAGTTCCAAAGCAGGTTCGTCAGTTGCTCTGCCGGCATCCGTCAGTCAATTTCAGAATTTTGTTAGAGAGTATAAACTTATATTTTTGTTACATAGCCTCAATCTATAGGCTATACCGTAATCAAGTGTCTATGTAACTTATATGACTTCTTCTTCTTCAAGTAAAAGATCTATTCTATTCTACTTCTTCTTACTTCCGAAGTCTGTTCCTCGGTTGTTGGTTATGTAATGTTCTCGCTTCACGTGTTATTACTGTTAAAGATAATAAAATTTTCCATATCATCCAACCATTGCGTTTTGATTAATAACCCTAACAATTTCTTCCCACCAATATTTTGGGATTGTTCGGACGCTTGACGGACATATGTGACATTAAAGAAAGTGTTTTTGTTATTTGAATAATCGTGTTTATATTTCAAGAACTGTTTGTAACAATCATCAAGATGGACGAAGAAAAAATGATAGAATATTGTATTTGAATACAAAAAATTCTTGACTGTAAATAACGTGATGGAAGACTAACTGAAACCAACTGACAGACAATTGACAGAGGAATTGTGGATGCAACTGAGACTGAACTGAGACTGAACTGTGACGGAAATGTGATGTGTGTGATTCGACCATTAATTAGGGATTTTGCTATTTTTGCTAATCCTACGGCATACTAACAACTTGTTTTTAATAATGATTTGAATTTTCTTCAAGTGGCGAGAGAATTAGAGTACTGAATTATCCATGGAGGTCAATAGGGTAAACATACCGTGGCAGTAGAAAATAGATTTAACGGCAAAATAAGAGGTGGTGATCTGATTGATAAGACCTAAGCAAGCGTGCATCAATAAATTCAACAAAACGTCAGAAGACATAGTTCAATACATAGTTGAAATATTACCTTTTTTGTTTTTCATTTCCTACTTGAGACTGATTTGCCTCCTTCTCTCCTTGGCTTGTGTAAATCTTCACACCAACTTGTTTTCCCTCTAAAAACAAAAATCTTGTTAAAAATAAATTCATAATTACCAATTGAGGTTATGCAGTTAAAACCTTAAAAGTTTATTTTGTTCATTTGTTCAATAAATAATTTGAAATTAACTGCATGAACAGATACAAATTAAGTGATTGTAAGTTTGTCAATAATTTCAATTATTGGGTGATTTTAAAGATTATCAACAGATTCTGGAACAGTTTTTAATAAATTTTTGTCTTCTGTGGTATTGTGATTGGGTGAATTTGTACCCTTTGAATTAATTGTGTTGTCTGTTGTGGGTACAATCATTGTTTAAATGTTTGCTCTCTAAGAATACACTGATTAGCCTACCTCTTTGTTTGGTATTTTAGCACAAGGATGATTAATGTTTTCCAAACTGTCGGAAAAAACAATTTTCTGTAAATCTTTAGACCCACAAGTATGTTTTACAGTCAAAGGTTTTGTTTGAACCTGCAATGGTTATGTATTGTTATCAATAGCAACAAATCTGTTTTGTACAATGAGTGTACATTAAGTTATGCAACTATATAATAATAAGTAGTTGTGACATTTATTTCCGAAAACATAACTGTGTAAATTGACACTTGTATTGTCCAGGTTTACATTACTTCAAAGGCATAACTGGGGCTAGAAAAAGATTTATACAGAAACGATGGGTTATCATAAAAATCAATAACCATATGACAACAAAATACGGTAAGCGTTTGAAATAAAAGTATAATACTAACTTAAGAAGCTTTTGTTCTTATTGAGAGCCTTTTTCATCTCCTTAGAGGTTTTAAAAGAAACGTAGGCGAATCCAGAGGCGTTCCTTGGGATTCTTATCCCAACTGGTTTCAAGGGTCGAAAAAAATCCTTCACCTCTTTTTTCTTTGTTGTGAAAGCCAAATTGATTATTTTAACTGTAAATAGGGTCTTATCCTCTTCAATGGCTTTGATTTCTGACTTTGTTTCATTTTCTGTTTCTACCGCATCTATTGGTTTCCCACTTGATTTTTTCTTTAATTTCAGGTACTGAAAAATGTGTAACAAATAAGTAGGCTTAGAAAGCACTCGTTAAAATAGGTAATCTTATTCAAATAGGGAATAAATTCTGAATAAATATCTGACATTTTAAAAGATATATTTTAGTGAAAATCCAATCAGGCAAATGGAAGTTCGCTTAGTCTGCATGTTAGCTGCAGAATGGGTATTTATTTGTTACTACAGAATATATCAAATTAATCAAAAATTTAACTATAATTAATTGTCAACAGATAAAATTACCTATCACATTTTTTATTTAGTAAAATATCTAGCCCACCTCAAGATCAGAAATATTGGCAAAAGCAGAAGATTTCTTCTCCTCTACTTCTTCAGTAGCTTTATCACATTCTTCATTGTTATCTTCTTCTTCAACACCAGAATCCCTATCCTCAGCGATGACTTTCAAAGCGTCTTCTTTCGCGTGAGTTTCCAAAAACTCCAAAAACATTGGATCATCTTTGTGCTGGAATTAAAACAATGATAAAAAAAAATGAAAAATAGAGTTGAGAGATCTGATATAGGCCTATGGTCTCATTAAATACAAATAGCAACCATAAAGCCATGGAGCGTTTTATCTAAAAAGGGGAATTATTTGAGAATATTTTTATCATGTGTTTGAAATGAACCAGTTCTTAAAAGAGTCTGCCATGCTTCAGAATCCTACAGCAGCTCCAAGGGAAAGCGGTTGGGACCCTTTGCCAATTAAAAAAGAGTATTAGAAACTGGTTTTCTTAAAATTATATTTAAATTTAAATCGACCATAAAAAACATCAAACTAACCACTTTAAAAGTAATAATTGACAAATTTTATTGGCAACAAAAATGTTAGGCCTAAATGTTCAATCAGTTTTCAGATTTTATTTTCCATATAACATTTATTATAAATGAATTAAAATTGAATAAAGCCATTGGTATACTTCAAATAATTTGCAATTTTATAATAATTTGTTTTATTATTTATTTGCAATTTGAACCTACATGTAAAAAGACTTTAACAAATACAATTTAGGGATAAAAACACTATTAATTTTCACGTAAAGAAGCTCACCCCTTTACCTTTTTTAACTTTTCAATGACTTCAGGATTTAAGTTTAACTTGTCTTTTTTTTCTTTTTTCTTAGAACCAGGCTGTGCTTCCTCTTTGGCTTTTGGTTTTTCTTCGGTAGAATGAAGTTTTTTATACGCAGAACTATCAGGGGCATACTTGCTCCAAGCCTTTGGTTTGGCTGCGTCTCCTGAAATATAAACAGAATTATGATTTAGCGAAGCTGTTTCACGGTGGTTTTGGGACATTAACTCTCCATCGGTCGCACCTATTTTTTAACTTGACCGGTTGCACTATATCTCTGAGATACATTTTCCTTAACACGTTCAGTGTGGCCGTTCCCGGGCGATCGGGTACGGTGCTCCATCTGTACCCGATCGGGAACGCTTGGCAATGCCTTTCGTATATCTTTGTTTTTGCCCTAACGTCGGTCGAAGGCGGACCTATACCAAGTTAGCGTGTAGTGTGTGACTTTTGTTGTGGCGGAGGTAGGTAGTAAATTTCCCCGTAAAATCCCCGTATGGCAAGCTTAAAAATCAACTTGTTGTCCCTGTAACTTGCTCCCTGTAATTGGCATTACAATCAAATTGGGATCGTCTACGTTCCAAACAGTGCTGCTATCTATGGGTGTTTTAGCAAACTATGTCGACTCTCGTCGTAAATCAGGACATCCCAGCACGTTATTTGCTATTCATCAGACCAAAATTTGATAGCCAATTACACATGGCAATCAAGTTTGTTCAACGCTGCGGGCTGCAGCTCACTGGGGAAACGCCTGCCGTTTAATGTGCCGTAGTGAACGTGTTAAAAATATTTTTTGAGTAGGCCTACTTCAGACATATTTTTCCCCTATTTTGTTCATACACCTATGGATTTCATACCGTACATATTTCACACCCTCTAAGCATTTCTCAGTTAGTAGAAAAAAATTTTTCAGACCATACACATTCCAGTATCCATTATATACAGTGTGACAAATGTTAAATTAACACAGCGTTTTTTTTGCTGGGTAAAAACAGTTTTATTTATTTCTAAATTTAATGGTAGCCTACTATCTAATTTTTGTATGATACAACAGAACAGAGATATAACAGAGATAATTATGTACGGTACCTAACATAAAAAATCAAAACCAGTCCCGTTTTTATTTTGGGATACGGTACATCTAAAAAAATTTAAATCATTTTCATTTAAAATTTATAGCAACACTTCATAAGTTATCTCACTAATTTAATATGTCAAGTTTGATATAGGCTGACATCAGAAATCATTTGATATTTATCAGCCATCAGGACTACACTCTGCTTATAGGCGATTTCAAATATGACATTACACGACAATTTCAGTTAAACAAGGGTTAATAAAATTACAATAAAATCTAAATGTACTAAATATACATAACACTTACCAAGATCCGCACAGTGTTCAACTGTTATTTTTGATTGGTTTATATAAGTGCTATTAAAATAGTCTACAGCTCTATCCGCCTCTTCTTTCGTTTGGAAACCAATAAATCCAAAATGTCGAAATTTCCCATCAGAAGTATATTTAAGTTGTATATCCGTGACCACACCTTTGGTAGCAAAACGCTCCTTCAGCTTTTCAGCTGTAATCTAAAATATAGATAAAATAGTGGGTTAAAACTGACTTGATTTTTAATTTGTCAAGCTGTGTTTACACAAGGCCAGAAGAGCAGTATTTTAAGTTACGAGAGGCAAGTAACCAATGTCCTCATGCAAACATGACTTTATTTCCAAAAACCGTCAAACCTCAAGAAAACATACAGCTAGGCCTATTAAATAAAAATCTTGTCTTGGGTGGCAAATGGTTACAATGCTCACTTTCATATCAGAAGGTCACTTCGATCTGGCTATAAAAATATGATGATAGGTTAATATACAAGGTAATAACAAGACCAGGGTTTCCTTTTCGTGATAGGAAATAGTTTTGTTATCTTCCAAAAAGTGATAGAGTTATTTAGGCTACTTATGTCATCCGAAAAAAAGCTAGGCTTACTGCGGGGGCAAAGTCTAGTGCGCTAGATAACATTTGTAAAAATAAAATTTTGAATCTCAATATATTGGGCCTCGATCGTATGAGGAATCGGAAGGAATCATGGCTGTTTCAAAAGAATACCTAACCGAGGAGTCATCCGATATAAGACTTTTAAACTCACACGATCGAAAGTCGGGTCGGCACGATATATCGTGGCTTTGCACCTTTCGGATGAAACATGCACAACTGTAACTTATAACGTTCCGTAGGATTTATCGTGAAAAAGACGCACAATGATATATCGTCACATAACTTAGCACTACTGAATGGATTTAGAAAATGAATAATATCAATGGCGAAAAATCACAACAATGCATATAAAATAACATATTTTTCCTGCAATTTCCCATTGACTTAAGACTTAGGCCTACCTATAACACATCTTGTAATATTGTTATAACATTATTTTGAATGGTAGGCCTTAAGTTACTGTCGCGAGAAACTCTCTACCAATGTTTTTTTTTTTTTTTTTTTTTTTTTTTAGACTTCTGTATTAGTTGTCAAAAACAACCGAATGAAAATATCGATCGTTCGATATATCGATTGGTTTTTTTTTAACAACAGACACCTTAGGCCTATAAAGTAAAAGGCCTAACTTAATGAAAGAAATTGATGAGACTATGCAACTACAGCATTTCTATTTATCCTACTCTTTTGCTTTAAAAGGTGTCTATAAAACACAGTTTTAACAGGATGTAAGATCAAATCTATTAAAAATAAAAAAACTATGATGGTAGGGCTTAATTAACTTTTCTCAAATAATAGTCTAGGCCTAGGTGTCAATGATATTGTTTACTAAGAACTGAACGACTAATTAATGACAAGGTAGGCCTACTTACTGAATTTGGAAGGTTCTTTATAATTAATCGCGACATTGTTTCACGTAATATATCGCAATTCAAATAAAGGAATGGCAAGTTAAGATAAGTTTAACATGTTTTTGGACAAATTGTTTTCTACTGAAACACACGTTTATCAACATAACCTCAAACTGAAACAAGCAGAAGCAGACGAAAAAGTCAAAATACTATCCCAGCTCCCAGCAGGAGACCTTGCCGTCAGACCGTCACCGCCCTTTTTTCGTCTGTCTAGAAACGGGACACTGGGACAGAGGAATTTGAAATCGGAACAACGCTTCCCCCACTACTGCGCTGTGCCGAACGCTTCCGAATCTTACCGAGCAGTGCCGAACTTAAACGTCAAATTCAATGCTGTCTGTCGCGTGGTCGCGTGGTGTACTTAATCCTCCTAGGGTGTACTTAATCGTTTTGGCTTGTCTTGTCAACAATGCATGTATGCCAGTGCTCAGTTTTGTGATAAGAGTTTTGTTAATCGGTGGGTTTTGTCTCGACACCTTCGTGAAATACACGAATTCATTGAGGGGGAAAAGTATAAGTAGCCTATAAGTAAAAAATAAGTACTCATACTGTGAGTACTTATTTAGGCTACCTACGATACAAAACCAATGATAGATTTTAAGGTACAATAAAAGAACGTGTTAAATTGTTTGCACTGTAAACAAAAAAACTATCACAACAGTTACAAACCGAAAAATAGAAACAAATAGGAAAATTGAAATAAATATGAAGAATAGGGTAATTTTTTTAACATATTTTATCGAAATTATAATCAGGTAAATGGAAATTCACTAAGTCTATAAATTTGCTGCGGAAGGGGGATTATATTGCTGTTTACACAAAAATAAAAATAAACCTCATAAAACTCAGGATAATGGCTTGGCAATGATTATAGAATCTTAATTATTTCCTATATCCATGAATGATTTCTTTTACAACGAATTATTGCCTGTAAAATATTATTACAGCATTTCACAAATATTAGAACAGACTCAGTATAATAGATCATAAACATAAACAAATGGTGTAACTGATGAAATTATATTAACATAATATTGTTTGACAGCTCCATTTAAGTAATGTTAAATAATGTTTACATTCTAGCTAGTGACATTATTATTTTAAATTTATAATCCTTACCCTCTCTGTTTTAATATTCGTGCAGTATTTAATATGTTTGAACCAGCTGTGTGGAGTGGAATTGTGAAATCAAAACTCATTTGACAGTTAGTTCTGCTTGTTTATATTTTTAAACTTTGTAGGTTTGTTCTTTGTTACCATGGATATACCATCAATCAATATTTACTTTTAATCTCTCACCTCAAATTTTTGAAAGCCCACTGGGCAGAGCCCTCCGACAATATCGAAGCGGGAATAGTTCTATATGTATCCTCGGAAATGTAGCTTCATGTGTGCAATTTGAGCCCAGTCGGTTCAGTAGTTTTTGCGTTATTGAGTAGCAGACAGACACACAAACACACACCATCTCATTTTTATATATTAGTATAGATAATACATTTTAATAATTTTTCCCCCAATTTTAATTTAATTTATATAAATGTCATCATATTTACTTATCGTTTAATTTAAAACAGATTGTAAATAAAACTTTGCAAAAAAAATATATTTAATAATTTGTAATCATTAAGTAATAATCAACCATCAATTATAAATTAAATGAAATTGTAACAGCTGACACATTCTTATTTTCTAAGTTCTTGTTCTTCACATTTTTTTACTTGCCTTGAATTTTCATAATTTGAGTATTTACTTGAACAGAAGTGAATAAGCATGAGTATTTACTTGTACTTCTAAAAAAGCCTTTCCAAGGAAGTATATACCCTCATAAACCTATAAATTTGGTGTGAATAACCACCAGCAAATACTTGCCTAAAGAGTAAATACTTGTTTTTCAACTAGTTATCAATAACCCATGCTTGTTTAAATTTATTTGTTGATAAATGCATGTAACACATTCAGTATAGTGTAATACACTTATTTAAATTATGTGTGACTCTAGTAATTTCCGCAAAATAATGCTTGGGTAATTGAAGATGGAACCTTTGTGGCATTCCTTCGTTATGTTCAAGCTATTTTGTTAATGAAAATCCATCCACAAGTCTCAATAATGCAAAACCTTCACATTTTACATGTTTAAATGAAGGCCTTAGACCTTCAACAATATATATATTTATCTATATTTATTTATTTAATATATATATATATATACTTGTACTGTATAATGTTTACTTTAAAATGGAGTACATACTTGCAAGTATACCCTCATCTCCGATAGATCAGTGAGTATACCATCTCATTTAGGAAGTATTTACTTTGCAAGTAAAGAGTCGCTTTTATTCACAAGAGATTACTTGAACGACGAATACTCGCAAGTATTTACTCACAAGTAAATACTTGCTGTACTTGTATTCACTCGGCCCAGTGTATGCTAGTGAAATCTTTTACTGAAATAAAAGTTTTTGAACTTGAACACACACACTGACTTCCCAGATATTTTCACAGAGATACTGGTACCTACAAACATAAACGTAGACCCATGCTGAGTAACTTGTGACACTGACAAACAAACAAAATAAACAAGTAGGCCTATAGAAAATTCACAATAAGATATTTCTCATTTAAAATAGTCAAATTTTTGTGTTCATTTTGTTGTTACAGTTTCCAAGATGAAGAAAATATGTTGTAAATAAATGTAAATATTATTTGTGTGTGTGAGTGTGTATCACAATATATGTGTTAAATTGTTACATTTTAAGAAAAATTTATTTTGAAGACCAGGAATTTTAACACGAGGTATGTTACTAGTTTTAAAATGTTCACAGCTGAAAATAGGCCTACCTGTTAGCTATAATTTAGAACGACATGGAATTAAACTTTTTCTTTCAATACTTTTGTTATTTAAACAGTGTAAACAACAATTAATAATAGTTAGGATTTTTATGTAATTCATCTTTATTTGGACTTATATAGTTTTTTGTAATTTTTTATAATTATTCTAGAAATAATTCTCAATTAACATACAGGGTGATTTGTACTCAGTGTGACAAAATTTTTTTGGTGTAAGTACAAAGTAAATGAAGTGTGATGATGCATATCAAATGCTCCAAGTCTAAAAATTAGCTTCCCAAAAAATTATTTTATGTTTTTCAAAAATAACCATGTTTTTAAACTTAATACAGCGATTTCTCAATTAACTGTATATGGATTTGAGTAGATAATGTAATTTTCGTGTTCTACATTAAATTTTGAACAAGAATAATAGAAAATGACGGAGGATCAGTTTGTAAAAACTCCATTGAAAATAGATTCAAAGATAAAAATTAAGATGTTTGAAAAAACTTTTAAAAACAATGGTCTATTGCATTTTTCACACCCTGTATACAAGAAAGTGTCGGAATATGTTAAAAACTGCGCCATTTTATAAGCTTTCCAACGATATGCTACACTATTGAGGTTTATGTCTGCTTATGTACGCTTTAATGGTTTGAATACTACAAAGCATGGTGTCTTTAACATTTAAAACACAGAAAGTCGGCAGGTATTAAGCCAAAGTTGTATTTTTGTTTCAACTTGAACAGTAAAAACGGTAAAAAAAAGTTCCCTGTTTTCTGGTATTCAAACCACTAAAACAAACAAAAAAATATCTAAACCTCAATAGTGTAGCATATGGTTGGAAAGCTTATAAAATGGCGCAGTTTTTAACATATCCCGACACTTTCTTGTATACAGGGTGTGAAAAAAGTAATAGACCATTGTTTTTAAAATGTTTATCAAATATCTTAATTTTTATCTTTGAATCTCTATTTACAATGGAGTTTTTACAACGGATCCTCCGTCATTTTCCATTATTCTTGTTCAAAATTTAATGTAGAACACGAAAATTACATTATCTACTCAAATCCATATACAGGTAATTGAGAAATTGCTGTATTAAGTTTCAAAGCATGGTTATTTTTGAAAAACATAAAATAATTTTTTTGGACGCTAATTTTGAGACTTGGAACATTTCATATGCATCATCACACTTCATTTACTTTGTACTTACATCAAAAAGATTTTGTCACACTGAGTACAAATCACCCTGTATTTAGACTTATATTTAACATTAAACGGCTACTGTACTTTGTTCCCGCGTAATTTAAAACAGGCTCGGTGATGACAGAAACCCGCGATCAGATGTTCAGTTCGGATTTCAATTCCGCTGTCCCGTTTCTAGACAGACGAAGGTGGGCGGTGACGGTCTGACGGCAAGGTCTCGTCTCCCAGCTCCCTCTACTCTAGTCCTCCTAGACCCTATAGACACTTAGACCAAAGGCGGCCGTGCTTAGACCCTAGTATCTACTTTCCACTCATTCGCTCACAAAATGTTAAACAGGCTGCATAGGGAAGTAAAATAACACACGGCTAAGAATAGTGAAGACCTTGTAAAAATAAAAGTATTAACAATAATACCAACAATATAGAATCTTATTAATTATTAGGGACCGTTCACATATTGCGTACACGTTTTTTGTCATTTTGAAAGCCCCCTTTGACGCTGCATAACGCGATTGTGCAAGTCTAAACCCCCACCCCAACGTAACGTAGCGTTGTCATATTTTATTTCCATTAAAAAATTTGTTGAGTAAAACATATTATATAGGTGGAATTTTAATTGAAAAAAATGGGTTTAATATTGGTGTGGAAGTAATGTTAATTAATAAAACAAACATTTTGAATAACAAAATTTAAAGTTTATTTTAACACGATTTATCCAAACACCTTTTATCACGTGTTAAAAGTGTATTTTTACCGTAGCACTTCTAAACAAAACTTTTATTTTGGTACTTTAACTGTACACAATTCAGAGTTATCTTTTGTGCCATCGTATTCAACCACGGCCATATTCAACTCCGTTTATAAGTTGAAGGTGGCCGTGATTCAACCCAGAGGGTGACCGAATCCATTCTTTCATGTCTTCCATGACTAGAAGATCAGAGCTAGGACTGGGAGTTGGTGTGGAAGTTTTTCAAATAGAATATCAGATCGAGATCAAATATAAGCGATAACAATTTAAAAATGCAATTAAAAAAGCGTATTATTTACCAAAAAGACTATTTCTTCATGTTTTTATCAT